ATGGACCGACTACGTTTAATGACCAATGAAGGCTTTGATCTCGTCGTCAGCCGCTAGGGTTCCCTGGGACTACCAAAGCGATTGAACTACGCTGTGCCTGTTGGTGCGCTGCCCGAGTGATGTCCCTTGTGTGTCATTCTACGTACACAACTGCTTCCTTCCTTCCCTCCACTCAACTCCAGCTGAGATGAATTTGTTAAAACGTTGGGAAAAGGATCCCATTTGTCCAGTCTGTCCGCACTAATAGCCACCAGAACGCCGGTAGAAATCAAGGGACCCATATGTGCTCCCAGGCTCTACCATTCTTCATCCAGTTCTTATCGCGTGTGATCCCTGTGCCCAGCTTCGTCATTAAGCACCCCCTTCAAAGAGCCAATGAGATCACGGTCGAGTGTTTTGCATTATACGGGAACGCCACAATGGCCCGACGGGCCAGGTGTGCGACCAAATGGTCTCGCGACAAAGCCTGAATAAAGAGTTCAAAAATTAACTGCTCGCTAATCACATTTGAGGCGGTATAGCGAAATCCCCCGTGGGCCGCCAGCTTGTTTTGCGATGCAGCGGTTGTGTGGCAGATTTATTGTTAGTTAAATCGACCGTTGCCAATGAAAGTTTCTCTCTTTACATCCTGCACCGCAGCATCTAACTCATTTATTCCTCAAGATGCAGCCCGATTGATAGAAGTGTGTTTTCTGAGTGATGGCGCTGGCAGCAGCGGCAGAGGCAGCAACGACGGTGATTTACTCATATATAGGAGGGCGAAATGGGACGAGGTCAGAAAGTTGGAGTCCAAGTAGTGATTCACACATGCACTCGTGGCAGTCCGTGGGTTTAGTTCAAATAGACAGGCGCGGAAAATGACCTTGTATGCGGTGGGTTACTGTGTCTGAGGGCATTGTACCTGGGCCTCAGGGAACTTCATGGAGGGACCCATCATCCGAGTATTGAGGAGTTCCCAGTCGTTCTTCTTGTTGATGCCGATGTTAAGATGTTCACTCTGTTAAAAGTCGGATTGCAGTGCGTAGAGCATGGACTACCCGAGGTTGGGGTGGCGACTCAAAACCGACTAACTCAAATAAAAAAACGTAATCACATACGGTCGATGGGCTTTCGGCAACGTGGGGCCACATGCTGCCATGGGGTTTATCCGTTATGAATGTGAATTTATCCAAACAGCGAAATTTCCTCCTACCCTTATGGAGTTCATCTTTATTCATGGGATAAAGGCTCTTCCGCAGTCGGCTTTTCTGCTGTCGTGTTGCAAAAATCACATCCACGGTTGTGCGCTCATATTTGCATACATGTTGCGCTCCCGGTACGAGTTCTGCTACCAAGCGCAGCAGCTGAAGAGTACTCAGAGAGAATGACATTATCAACAAAGACAAGGGAGATCGGAATGGCCATTTCTGGCTTGTTAGCCGTCGCTAGTCAATTATACCCAACGCCGTGGTGTGTTACATCTGCAGCTCGATCTTGCGGCCTGTTGGTTAGAAGTTCAATGTTCTAGCCAGAAAACTAACAAGCGTTTGCGCCGTTATAGCGAGAAAATGCATTCCACAGTAGTTTGAGCAGATCTGCCGATTTCCATTGCATTCACAGTGGCATGCAGTGGTTAATTCTTGAAGTATTCTGGATTCTCCTCTTTCCCTCACCTACTGGGATTTAAGCCTAATTTTCTTGTGAAGCAAAATATGACTGTGGTTTACACCTCAGACCAATAGAGCCGCCATTTTTTGACTTCTCTGCCTGATCGATGCCGATCCCCTTAACCGGCTTCCACGATCTGGCGGCAGATAGAATCCAGCATTGAGTCCCCCAGGAGAAAATCTGCTGACTCTCGCTTCTCAGGTTTATGGCGTAATGTTGAAGATTCTTCGGAAATGCTTAACCCGGGCATCTAGGATATCTGATTTCTTCGATAGATATGGCCTTCGGGCCGAACAAACCGCTGGTAAGGACGTAGTTGGCTGTGTTTAATTGACCATCGTGTGACCACGATGCGGCTCTTCATTTTGCTACTGTCTCTGTAGCCCAACATTGCATCTTCCCCGCCGTGTAACCAGTCGTTATATTCCTCTCCGTTTCCACCGCAATGTTCTTCTATACATGACTGCTGCAAATTTATTTGAAGGGGTCATTTTATTATCTGCAAGTGAATGACATTTCTTTTTTGTACGAATAAGGCCATGACTATTTCGACTGTCTCCATAAAGTCGGTATTTGTTTAGTTGGTGCAGGTACCGATTCACTGCGACAGTTAAGCAGATCGCAATTCACAATGTCCCTCGTTTGCTCCCCCACTCTTGAATTTAATTTCCGTTCACGTATCTCAAAGCTAATGGTTTGCTCGTGTTCGGGTTTGATCTTCATAAAAAGTTCGATTTTCGGCTTCCTTGGGTCCGACTTCGCTTGGGGCCAAATTTATGTTTTGATCTACAATTTCCTCTTGGATGTAAGCTGACGGCGTTCTCTCTAGTATATGGCACGGTAGTCGTAATCGGTGAACCTACTTTTTAATTAATCAAGGTCAGGCCTTTACAGATATATAAGCAAGGTACGATAGGGCAGCAGAAAATAATGGAGAGTGGCCTCCCCTTATTGAAATCCTACTTAGTAGGACGTCGGATGGAATAATTCGTAGAAGTGTACTTTTAAAGAGAGCAGTGACAGAACAATGCACAAATTTCTGCCGGAACGATCTTCTGCTAAGAAATGTACAAAATGTTCCGGGGGCACATCCAACGTGGTCATATGTCAATTATTCATTATCATTCTCCCAAACACCTAAAAGCTGCCCTTAAATTTTATCCGCTTAAGTAATTCCCCTTCTTCCATTTGTTTCATATGTGTTTACTAAATAAGTTATTTTCCGAGAAACTTGATTCGCTCCCCGCATTCGTCTACCGTGAGTCTACTATTCGAGGGTTATTACTTGAGAATAGAGAACATCTTGGTTTTTAGGAAGCTACACATTTCATATACGTGGTTAAACAGGATCCGCGTGTTTGCAGATTGCAGTTGTTTACAAACTATCTCACTTAATTCCACTGCAGTATTAATTCATTAGGACACCTTGCAATTCAGAAGGGTTGAAGAAATTTGAGAAACTCGCCACACTTTGAGTCATGGTTCGAAGAATCTCGAGTATTTGAATGGACGTCTGGTTAGGACAATGTCACCGATTGCTGGAAAGCACAATTTGCTTTTAAAGGGAATATCTCATACGTCTAGGCTCTATTATTCAAGCGGTCGAATTTTCTCAGCAAAAATAGATGTGAGAAGTTAACCGCTCTGTGGTCCCTCCAAAGGAACATGCTTTAGTACATACTGGCATAAAATAAGGAAGCGTTCCTCCCATGATATTATTTATCCTGGGTGCGACTGAAATTGATCGCGAGAGAAAGTTTCAAACGAAAACATATATGTTCTGACGTATGGGCTATGGTACAATCACTCTCCTCGCTTATGATACTCGTGAGGCCTCTTGAGTAAGGTTTTTAAGTAGAGAGAATGTTTAGAATACTCGTCGACCCTTTTTACACATATGCATATGGTCATGTACACCTGACTCACCAAATGTGTTCGCAGAAACCTTTTCTTCCCATTCGCGAAGCACGCAACCACGTAACCTCCATTCATTATTGTTTATATGACTCAGTTGTGGGTTTACACTCTAGCACAAAGATTTGCCAATCAGGGAGATTACTAAACAACATTTGCCGCTTCCCACTTGGTCAATTATGGCTATAAATTGGTGTCTGTAAAAATAACTCTATTTAGTCACAAAAAATTTCCCGATTCTATATATTTGGTAAGGGTAAAATGTGATTTTCTGTTTTGTTACAGAGACAAGGAGGCATTCGCCTTAAAAATTGCATTTCGGGTTTGACTTGGCTGCCTGAAACGCCAAACCCAATGAGCACCACTCTTTGTAGCCCATAATTCTTTCAGTAAATAGTGGGGCGTTAATCCGATGAACTTCAAGTCGCGTGGGGTTCATGGGGAAGCGCCTTCGGTTTTATTCAAATCTCTTCCAAGAAAAGATTCTAACATCATTTTTTAGTTTTCCTAAACTAACAGCTACGTTATCATCGCTCCGCCTGTTGATTCAGGGTCCAGATATCGTGTGCGCGGTTGAAGAGGACGGTGGCAGGTCTTATCAACCAATGGGTCAGGACGTTTCTGATTGGATGATGAGCTTCTCGCCTAGGCCCACAGACCCCTGTCAAGCCGGATGCGCGATTGCGCGCGTGAGGCATCCCTCACGTGTAATTGGCCAGTGAGCCAAGGGTTTGTCATTAGCGTCTGCAGGTAACCTATGGCCAACTCGATGTGCAGAGGCGACGTTTACGCGCTAGCGCGCGCCCTTTCGTTACCTCTGCTCTTATCTGCGTCTCCGTCTCCCTCTGTCTCTCACCTTCACACGTCGTTCTACGCGGCTAGACTTCACACAGCGCGCACGCACACAGACGCCTGCGTACGTCAGCTATGAGAGGGTGGACGTGAGGGTTAACGTTCTCCCCGACGCACCTCCGAGGCCCCTCTTTGCCGACATTCGGACGCTAGCACGTCAGCTTTGATTCTGTTGGCCCGTTTGCGGAGACTTCACCTCGCGGTGTCTTTTCTCTCTCTCTCTCCCTCTCTCTCTCTCGCTCTCTCTCCCTCTCTCTCCTAACCCGAAGTGGTGGAGACCACGCAGTCACATTTTTGCCGACCACAAGCGACCCTGTGTTCATTCATCCGAATAGCCATTACCAAAACTTTTATTGCTTCCCATTTCTCATCTAAACGCGCGTAGGCACCATCTGCAAGCTTACACATACACAGACAATCACATACATCTAAGCACCTCCAAAGAGTCACGTGTACGGTGCGCGTATGAAATCAACTCAGGGACCAGCAGCGAGAAGATAAGCACAACGAAGGGTGGCAGATTAGTAATCGACCCTCTGCCGGCTTCTGCTTCAGAAACCGACCCTACCTCCGTCTCCTGGCTTGAAATGCTCGCTATGCAGACAAATTACCCCCTACCTGACAATGAGTCAGCGAATCCGCGGTACTCATTTATGCAGCAAGAACGCTGCGCCATGCACCCGCCCCCACTCCCACAGCCCGTGGATGCTCCTTTCACCTTCTGCTCAGAGGCACAGGGGAACTTTCCCGTCTCCAATTCCATCAATGAGGTCCTCCAACGTTCGCTCATGTCCTCCTCCTCATCCTCCTTCCAAGCTGGGCATGCAGACAAGCCGGAGTATGAAAGTGATACCTCAACTGCGTCCCGTTGTGGTCTGCTGCCCAACGGCGAACCCTTAGAGTTGATTGCTCTTCGCGAGGTGGCTAAACAGGAGAAGAAGTTGGACCAGGGCGAGCGCGAAACCCATCGCAAGCCCCTCGAAGACACAAGCGCCAGCTTTGCCTCAAAGCTCTACGGCTACGACCTTCCATTTCATATGGCAGCAGCCCATTCCCACACCCCCCGAGACTGGCCGCAAAGCATGACTGAGCTACAAGGTCAGCACCATAAGGCCGCTGCAGCAGCCGTGGCCGCTGCTGCAGTCGCATCCACCGCAGGCCCTCTTAGGCACGAATTATTTTCATCCACAAATCCTGGGATCGGAACTGGTGGACCACCGATGGGCATGCTACCTTATACCCCTTCTGGACCAAGCAAAGATTTTGACTATTTGTTGGCCGCCAACGCCGCGAGGGCACTAGTGAACCAACTAGGAGTCACTCCTGTTGACGACTGTCGGCGGAGTCTCCTAAACGCCTGCGGAGGCAATGGAGAGACGGAGGAACATGTTAAGTCTCCCCCAACGCCCTCTTCTTCAGCGGCCGCTGCAGCCTCTAGGCACAACATTCACTTTCGGGACCAGAATCATCTACTTGGTCAACATTATATGCATCGACAGGTTTCAGCCAGCGGAACCCCCGGTGCAACAGCCGTGGACCAGAGCCCGCGTAATTCTTTCGGCAGCATGGGTAACCTACCCTCACTCATGGGGACTCATCTGCGCAGTCCCGCCAGCATGCCTCCCTTTGGTGGCCCCCTGGGATTCTCCGTATCGCCGAGCGCCTCGTTTGCTCATCGACAGCAGCGGATACTCCAGTCGAGCGCTTTTGGTCTGGACTCCACCTTCTCCGGGGAGGCTGACCGCGCGGCAAAGGACTATCCTCTACCCGCTGTGGATAGCCGCTATTCTTCGGGAATGCCCCGCATCCGATCTACCTCGCCAATGGATAGTGATCGACCGTTGCCAAACGATGCGGCCCTGAGTGACGCATCCCCGAACAGTTCGACAAGCGGGAAATTTGCCAGCCCACACGTGCAGGGTCAGGCGGGCAACGTTGTGCTCTATCCGTGGATGAACCCCAAGAGTTGCGGTAAGTATCCTCATTTTTTTTATTCTTACCGTTGCTCCCGGTAAGGCAAACCGGTTTGTAGGCTTGATTTTCGCCAGCGTCAAAGTTACGCGCACTCTTTGCGGCCAGTTGATCTACTTGACTGCAATGAGATAAACGTTTATTTGTGGACTTGGAGACCATATGCGACGGTGATTTCAAGGTCGGCTAAGGTGGATGAAACTTTAACTATTTCCCTTGTCCGCCAATGCGCTTAATTGCCCTGGGTTGCAAATTAAATAATTTTTCTTGTGTATTTCGAAGTCGTATACGTCAAAATGTAACACTCGAGTAATGATTCGGATTTGAAGTCGGAGAACTCGATTTTATAGCCTTTATAATATAATGACAATCCAAAGCAAAACAAACCTCTGTCAGGTCTACTGGTCTTTACATACTTGTCTCCGGTACTAGAAAGACCGAGAATAAATCCTCATGCGTAGTCGCAGAATATACGGGGCGACGTAGGCAGATGACGGCCTCTGACTGATAAGCCGTCATTGTTAAAATGTCAGAGGCATATACTACTACGCGTCATAGTCTTTAGCATTTTTGTTGGTAGAATTGTGGCACAGTAAAAACAAAACCTTACCTTGCCCCTCTGCCAAATAGTGTGTCCCCTTCTGCTCCTTCGCTGCCTGGTAGCGATTAGCTGGAAGTCCTCAGGTGGCTTGATTAGAGGCAGCCCCCTGATATTATTCTTCAGAACCTACTGCTGAGGTGAAGTAATTCCGCAGTGTCATTTCGAAGTGCGAACTCACTTACGTAGACGTCATGGGAGTCTACTGGTCTCAGCAACGGGACGGAAAGCCTGACAGGCTGAGGTGTTTAAACCTGCATCCTGTTTCAGGCCTTAAACAAGGAGGTTGTTTTGTAGGAACTGACAAGATATATACAAGTGGGACAGCCTAATGATTATTCCCCCCAAATTTTTCGATGTTGTTGACCTAACCGAACTAAAATGGATCTAGGTTTTGAAGAGACGAGATCGCTGCCTGTCCTTCCCGCGAACACAGGGTCTGAATTCAACCCTAAATCACCAGGTGGCTAGTAATCGCCTTTCCGTTCCTGATAGCCGGATCTTGTCGAGACTGAAAAGGCTAATTAATCTTTTCATCGGTTGCGCGTTGTTCAACTGCGGACGATCTCATTTTCACTGTGAAGACAGGTTCTACAAGTGAGTTCTCTAAAATGGACTAAAATACACAAGATTTCCTTCTGGAAATGATCTGCTGGTGGGAGTTGCAAGCACACTCAGACACCCGAAGTGTTTTTTGACGCCAGGATCGCAATCAGGTAGGCTAAAATCACAAAAACAACTAGTGCAGTTGTGTCACATAAGTCACCTGCAAAACTATCAACAAAATGAATTATGGGCCCGAGTAACGGCTGGTGGCATAGCACTCTGTCTTAAACGCACAAACTTGTAACATATATTCGGACTGTTGGGACATCGCTGTTTGTAAAAACGTCAGTTTTATACGCCCTTCACTTCATTGTCATCAAATATGAGGCCTAGAGATCTACATCCGGTGGATCACAGGCCTGCTAGGATAGGCCTTAGCAGCGGCATGCTTTTCACCACACACTACACGTGAATAACTTGCCACTGCAGGATATGCCATCCAACGATCGCGCGCCGCTTCTCCTCAGCCTGACTCAGCAGTTGATTCCATCAAATTTGTAGTTAGTGGTCACAGCTCCTGTCATTTAACCACCCATTATGCTGTTACGGGAGACATTTAATTAAACCATTACACCTGTCACTGCTACATCCGTTTGTGTGAACGCAGATGTGGTGTCAAGTGTGCAACATTTCACTCAACTCGAGTACATCGGCAGCATCTGGCGAAACTGGAAAGATACCCTTAACTTCATGAAAAAATACCTAGAATTCAAAAACCGACCCAACTACATTGAAAAATTGGCCCAATTAGAACAGGAACAAGGAAAACACCAAGACGTCTTGAAAGTAGAATGCATTTGCCATCGGTAGTAGGGATGGATAAAACAACCGTATGACTTTTTAACTACGATTATCGGTTACGCATCGTCGAAGATTGATGGATAGCCGATAAGGTACAATTCGCATAATTTGCATTCTAAGGTAGCGGGTCGGTCGTTTCACCAGACCTTCGGGTTGATTGGTCAATGCCGCATGCGGGGAGCCTCGCACCCCACAGTCAGCGGTGAATCCACGAGCCACCTCGGCGGTCGAAGAGGGTAAACCAATTTCCACGGATGGATAGTTGCATCGCAATTTTAAACATCCGACAACTTGAACACTCGTTACGCCGCTTCAGGTTATGATATTGGGTTGTCTAAATGCACACTGTTGTAAAAAAAGGAGAATATAAATAGAAGGCGAAATTGTGCGTCAGAAGAAAGTGCTTGATTCACGACCGTGATAACAAACAAAGCAAGATACTGTACACAATAAATAGCCAACTGCCTGATGTTGAACGAAGTTTTCAAGAGAACGAGTGAGAGTCAAACTATTTTGGTTTTCGTTGTTAAAGATGCCGCTGAAAAGGATCAAAATCATCCTTTTGATCTCCTAATTAGGGAGGCAGCATGCTCGCAAGCCAGCTGCTGACCAATAAATTGAAACATAATTGGTAAACGCCACCAGAAACACAATATGTTTTGTGTATGAGCTGGATTTTCCTCCTGTAGAACTACGCTGGTTGTTATGGTGATGTTGGTGGTAGTTGAGCCTGAAGGTATTCATGAAATATCAGTAAACCCTTTGCTCTCTTTGATGTCGTCACTGGCAGTTAGAAAAAGACATTTTCCATTTTATGGTTAAATATGACGGTTCTCGCAAACCATAAGACACGCTGTGTCTTCTCGGAAGTTATCTCTTCTGCAAATATCAGGTCGAGTCGCACTTCCTGGAGGACCTCGACGCGAAACACAACCGCCTAAAATAGTCAGTTTCTGCAAGGAGCTCGCTCCTGATCAGATAAGAAACCGTTCTTAAATGCTCTTTCTTCTCTGAACGGGGGTTTGCACTGTGTTTCACTTACAAATACTTGTGCACTTCGTCTTGCTCCGAAGTAAAGTTGTGGGTTACACTGGAAACGTTTTTCCATTGTGCACAGCTATCGGGATGAAACTGATTATTTTGTTCGTCGGACTAAAAGCGGGCCGGTCTGTTTGTTCCGAGACATGTTTCATACTTTTTGGTTAAGCGGTGACCTGGTTAGTTGTTTAAAGGCACAATGGAATGGCTCCATAAATGCGAAAAGGATTTCTCGAACGGCTCGTGCGGTACTAGATCGGCTTTAAGCTTTGCACCGCTTGCAGGTACAAAACAGTCACACAATATTCTTGGAAGCTAGATTGTCTATAAACTATCGGTGCAGTCAACTATTGGGCAGTCAACTGAAAAACTAACTTCCAAATTCGTGAACGCCACTTTCGTTGACTTTTTCCGCTTAAATGAAACGATGGGCCTGACGATCTGCCAGAGGAAAACCCGTAAGGATGGAAGTGTGATGCACACTAATTGTTACCATGGGAAGTCCCTCGGATGTAAAGAAATATCGGTTTTCACAAAGGGGCATATTATGCATGAGAAATTCCTCTTACACAGTGTATTAGACTAATAAGTAGGACGTGTAACGTATAGGACACCATCCCCGAGCACTTTGATTTCAGTCATCGTGTTTTACCGATGCCGATACCCGACACTGAGCGTCATCCTGCAAATCCTGTACGTCTATTCCTCATAAACCTAGTTACACCACTTCGCGCTTATGCGTAACTGTGCGGTTAAAATGAAAAAAAATGTATTTCCACTGAAATGCGGGAAAACGTGCTGTTTATTTTGCAAATGCGTGAGTTTGATTCTGTGACCTGCATGACCGAGGGGTGTTCCATTGCTTTTCCATTTAAAATGAAGCTCAATTGGAGAGTGGAAGTGAGTCGCGGGGCACTACGGGGGTCGAACAACGTTAACGTGGATAGTACAATAAGCAAGATGGAAGTCGGTATTTTAAATGTCAGCTAGACTTTGATGAACATAAAGTGACTTTTACGGACTCAGCACCTGTGAACTTTTTGTACTGCGGATAGACGATAACAAATTTAACTACGGTTTCAATACAAGTAGACAGTGAGTACAGACTCAGTATGGAAAAATATGTTGATTCCTCACTCCAACATTTGCTCTCCACCCCAAAAAATTTTATTTAACATAGAAACCTAATTGGTCAGTGTGTATTCGAACGGATATGTTTGTGTTAAATTAATTATTCTTCTTAAAGACCCCTATCATGATTTAAAATTTTATGAAAGTCCTGAACTCTTCTAACCGCAATATATCCATATCATAAATTTGCAACTTATTACCTAGAACTATGTTTTGCAGAAAGGACGGTAAGACATACATTAATGCACATATGAACCTCAATATCCCCAGGCCTCTAAAGCCTTCTGATTAGTCATGAGTTACCCCGCAGGTCTGTTAAAAGGTTGCAGGATTCCTTGGTTTTAATGCAACGGGGGGAAAAGTGTAGTATTCTGACTACTTTGCAAAGCAGGTTATATTTCGAAAAGTCGATAAAACCTGCTTAAAACCTAAATATTAGAGCAATTCAATTCTTAATTTCTAGAAGTAGCTTCACATTACCGGTTGCTGGCAACTAGAACTGCTTGTCAATCCATATTGAAAAATAGGACGTACAGGACACGAACATCGGACAACGACGAATTATACGCTTCATTTAAGCAGTGGCTTTGTTCGGATTTAGTGCTTCGTGCATGACGGCAGAACATTGGGTTAAGTCAAAGGGCAACATAAATTACACTGGAATCAGTTTTAGATCAACACACATATATATATACCAACTAAACACCAGTTTTCATTTACTGACATAAATGACTATTTTTCATTAATGATATTTAATGATCATTAAGGGGTGTTCATAACTAGAGGATGGGTCTCTCTATGAATTCGCCACTTTGTCATAACTGAATGTATCCTTTATCAATCGGAATGAACAGGAGGGTGAAATAACCAAAAGTCAGTAACCCAAAGGACCCTATTTCAAATTAACTGGAACAAATTGTACGTGAACCCTTATCTTATTCTGAGATGTTCTGAATGCCCTGGCACTTTTACGCTAGCCATTAGTCGGGTCTGAATTCGGTACCTGGTGGCCAGTGTAAGAAAAATAATCTTTATTATAAATTTAAGTTAATCTGCGATTTTTCTATCCGGATTAACATATTGTCACCTGAGTCAACTTCAAATTTCCTGCCGAGGGTTCTGACACATGGACATTTCAGTTGAGGATTCTGCTCGTAACTGCAGAACTGATGTCCACCTAGAAACCCACCTTCCATGGGTTTTACAGTATGGCTGTCCCAATAATCGACCCGGAAAGTCTTTTTAGTTCAGATCAAAGTATAAGACGTATGCAGGTTTCCTCGCAGTTTCACTGGGATAGATCGTGTCCAGAGAGCGGTCTGACGCTCGTTGTGCCAATACTGGTGAGAAGATCCAGAGTTTTGCCAGTATGTCCCGAGTGATCACTAACTTGCCTTGCAAGGTGCACATTTCGTCCTTTCATAAGGTACTGGCCACAAGTCCTGAATGTCTTTCCGGTCATTTTGTTGGAGTAGTTCTATCTGAAAGGCTTGTAGTCCAAAGCAAAACACAAAGTCGTTCCCAGCGGCTCAAAACCTGATCTCGTCAGTAGCCTCTAAATGATGTCTCGGACAAAAACATGAACATTCGGACGCAACCAAATGTTTTGTGTACAATATGCAGCTCCATTTGTGTTCGTCAAGCGGGTTGGACTCGCTTTCCGGAGATGTAGTCTTAATCGCTGATACGTAGAATACACACCAACTGATAATTGCATTATGATTCCTGGATTCCCAACGAGGGGACATCAGTAGAGTTGTTGAAAATAGGCCCACACTTTCATTAAATTTCCGTGGCCCCATAACTTCCTACCTGCTTCCTCATGCAATGGCACAAACAACCAACGAATTGCCACGTCAGACCTCTGACTGGGAGCGTGAATATGCGCATTCGAATATGTGAAAATTAAAATTTTGCAATCGCACTAATAGGCATTTTTGCCGATTTGAATGATTCGGTGGGGTACGAACCCAGGAGAGCAAGCCTTGAGCACAGACAACGTTCTAGCCACCTCAGCTACGAGGTCCGACCGGGAGCCATGAGTTTACTCACATTTGGATCAACTTACTCGCCGAGCCCACTACAACGTATGGAATTCACCAATACCGATACAGCAAGCAGACCTTCCAAACAGGATTTCCTAAGCAATCAATCTTGAATCCACCAGATCTGAATAATTCATCCGACGTAGTTGTGGAAAATTCGATGGCCTCGGTGAGTTTTCCACAAATGAACCAACCGTATTAATCATACTAAAGCAAACCACTCCAGTTTGTTTTCAGAAGCTTGTGGATAAGTATATACATGGGGTTTCTAGGGGAGAAAAGCAAAAGAAATATCCGATAAAGCAGACAAGAGAGCATAAGAGCATTCAAATAAGCAAAAAGGAATTATATAGATTGTTTCACAGAAGGCTTGTAAATTTTCGCATAGCCACTACTAATGACTTTCAACAGGTGGCTATCTTAGAGGAGAATGCCTGCATTTTCTAGGGTGATAAGTTAGCTTAGGATAGACGGAGTGTCGCCCTTTGAAAGGTCTGCTTTTTCAGCCTACCGATAAGGTATGTTTCCTCAGAAATTCATAGCTGTGGGCCTTGTTTAGCTGACCTGAGCTCTTCCTGCTTATTCCAGGGCCTTCTGAAGTTTCCAGACTAGTTCCAAACTTCTTGCAAATACTTAGCTTGTTGTTATTTTGCAGTAGAGCAGTAGTGACCGATCTCATAAAACGTCAACCGAAATTCTTAAATTCAGTTTCAAGTAGGAAAGGATTACTTAAGTGAGACTGTAAGAGTGGTTATCTTGCGGCGTAATCCCGCGATATTTCAGACACGCCAAGGTGTAGGCTCTTGAATACACTTCTTTTCGGCCACCTGCAAAAGCTTCATTCGGGTAAAACGACCACTGAATTAGCATGAATTCTCTCTATCGATTTTCGATACACAAGTAAATTCAAATGTAGCTGGTTGAAAACCCCATAGAAATATTATTTCTTGTTCTAATTTGGTAGAAAATCGTGTCTTCCTCATAATTTATATCCAAAGGAAGGTTATATTTTGGTTTTTAAAAAGTTGTACAATCCCAAATAATTTCGATCTTGATCTCCGTTGCACTTCGATTTAGGGTTTTAAGTCAACAGACCGTATATTTCCTGTGTAGGGAGAAACATTCACCCCTTTATGTCATTAACAAGATGCAATATGAGGCACATGGTAATGTTGCAACAGATTTGAAGTGTTTTGTTTACTTAATGAGAAGCGTTATCAAACGGACAGATACGACGCTGCTAGAATGGAAAGCTCAGAATAATAAACTTTTTTATAACCGAAAGATATTCTTTCTTCGATCATGAAATTTGAAGAAGGCGTGATTTTCCACCATATAAGTACAAGAAATAATACTTTTATGAATGCTTTTTGCAAAATATTTTTGAAGTTTTATGGGCATTTTAAATTGATACAAAAAGCGCACGCTACTTAAACAGTCATTTTTGCCGAGTTTTGTTTTTACAAAAACATTTTTGAAAAAATATATCAGGGATTTGGGTTTCCTGTTGTTGACGGACTAAGTTAAGACCCACGAACCGTACCTGCAACCTGTTCAATGCTGATTCTGTTGCAAACAGATCGGGGATTTCGGTATATGCCATAAAACTATATGTGTTGAGGGTTAACAGTAATAGCAAAAATGGGTATATGCGTATTTATATTCTTGGACGGCAGTCAGACACCGTAAAGAGACTACCCGCAGGCAGAAGTTTCGTGTGTACGGACCCCGTACGTACGTCTTAACCTTCCCGCCCCGAAGGCCTTCAGTATCTGACCTCGGGGTCAGTTTTCTGACCTCGCGATCAAACATGACATAGTCAGCCCTATCAGTGGCAGCGTGCTGTGCAGGATGTCATGGTATGCGTCATTCTAAAGTCAAAAATTTCAATAACTAGTCCTGGCTCACATGCTGCCAGTTATAAAACTGGAAATATTTGAATTTGCTACACAAAGCAGTTGCTTCCGAACTATCGGACACGCAACATTCCGTTGTCTTCGGTCCGAAGTATCACTCTCACTCCGGGAGTGATGAAAACCGACTCGTTTCTCAGTAGCTCCGTAAGACAATAAAGCACCTCCGTCTGTTCTAAAACGTCCGACTGGAGTTGGCACAGTATGGCTGTGAGGCACTGTGAGCTGACTGCAAAATCCGTGCCAGAAATCAGATTTTAGTCTCCCTAACCCCATGTGTACAGCGCTTGCCCACTTGCGAGAGTCTTAGTCTGGAATTCAAAGAAAATATGCCTGCTCCCTAATGTTAGCTGCCAAGTGCGGTGTATCCGAATTGGCCAATACATTCATGTATCTATTACGCCGACCGATGATTAAACCGATCAGGCGGTATCGTATCCATGTTATTGCGACCTCTTCCTCTCCATTGGCTTACAAAGTCGCGAATCCATCTGTGCTCCGCACATTTATACGCAGATACTCAAGACGTTTGGAGGTGAAGTCTGGAACTGATGGGAAAGGACTGCAGGTAACGGTTGCAGCATCAGCCTTCTTTGCATCACACCACTTCTGCGAGCGAAAGATGGTCACTATCCCACGATCGAGCGCCCATTCAGTCAGAATTGGTTATACAGACGCTGCCCGGAGTCGAATACTACTTAAAACCATATCAGTAACTATCACCCATTTTGAGAAAGCATGCTAGCGCGTGGAAACTTCCTCTAGGCTTCCTCTAGGCAATAGAACAGCCTATCACGAATTTTTCGGAAAAAAGGAACATTAAAGGAGGAAAACCTGAATCAAGACAGAAGTGATGTTAGCAAGACAGGAGATTCGCCATCTTTGCTTAGTCTGTCATTAAATGAAGCCGGCAGAGGGGACGGAGCAGGAAACACCGACGCGTGGAACAGACCGAATGTTCCAACAGGCTTTTCGTGTTTGCATGCAAAGGGCCAAGCCGTGGATGACCGCGACTATGCTGAGACCGTACTTCTCGGCCGCTCTCCGTCCGTGGTGGGAGCAGATTCACGCACGTGTGTAACGGCGCCCGTTGCGTGCCTCCCTGCTCGTCGAAGTCCTCCAGTGTTTATAGTCAAGCCGTTTACGCGCATTCACACATTCAGATCTATCCCCAACATTGATCTTAGCTGCCCTATGGAGACTCCATATAACTAGTTGATTAAACACCGGACTTGCTTGTTTTTGAGAGGAATGCAGAGGATGGGGAACTGTGAGCTGAAGGGCTGCGAGGACAAACTGGGCTGGAAGAAGAGTACGCTTCGGACGACTCGACGTTTCGCGCGTGAGCAAAATACACACTCACACGCACGCGCAAACATATACTCACAAGAACGCAGTCTGCTGGCTTGATTAGCTGACGGTCGAACTCTGTTATCAGTCGGCACGCAACACTGCCTCCTTGTGAGTCAAGGTGGTGGGAGGGCAGATGGTCGGACGGAGAATGCACGAAGGCGGAGGGAGTGGAAGACGATTCTGGAGTTTTACCGGAAGAGGAGAGGCATCTAGAGAACGCGAATAGGGGGGGGGAGGATGGGAGCCCTACGGAGCGTACGCCACCACGCAACCGCAGAAAGGCCATCTTTAGACTGGTGTCGACTGTCATATGCACACGCACACAAAACGTGCCCTCTGTCGGCCGGGGACGATAGAAGCGTGGAAGTCAGAGTTTGGTGTGGGGAAGGTGGATGTGGGAGTCCTACAAAACCACCCTCACCTCTCATCCCGGTTAAAAACCATTTCTCGAACGTTGATGTGCACATACACCATGCCTTTTCTTCCTCCACCCTCTCAGGGGCAGGCAACTGCCGACATCGAGCCTGCGGAGACTGCACGAGAGACACCTTCGGGGAAAAGGACTGAGCAGAAAGCAAGGTGGGGTGGGGCCAATTGGTAAGAGTGGACAAATTTTGGTACCTAAAGCATCGCGTGACTAAGGCGGCGCGTGTGTGCGTATATACACAGACATATATATGATAGAAACGGAAATTTTGTGCTGACGTTCAGCCTCCTTCGGCCCAGAAGTCACAATGACCTCAGTTGACAAATGTCAGTATTGATACTGTCGGTGATCGCGTGCCTCCTGTAAACGTCAAATTTAACGCCATTGATCTTTCCAGTGACGACTGTCAATCTCAGTATTAAACTGTGAGACGGCTTTTAGAAGGAAGAATTTGTTTACAGACCAAGAGCCTTCTAAATAAAATTGAGGAAACCTTTCATTCATATATGAGCAATGCTGATCCAAAATGTGCATGCTTTGTATGCCGCATTTTAATATTCACTGAATCTCCTGAAACACTTGCAGATATTCCTTAAAAGGTTTTCACTTTTATTCGCCGGACGTTTCGGTTTCTCGCTCGAACCCACCACTGGAGACAGTGGCAGAGCTGTTGTACAGGATACACTGCCATACTGATTTATGCCTTCTGGCATGAAAACGTCCCATCCGCCTGGGTCGATCCTAAGCAAAAGTGTTGATACTGTCATGTCGAATTCTCCATCCGCTGGCTGGAAGAAGTTTTTCATTTTTTTCGAAACATGACTTTCCGGACACTCTAGTATCCACCTTCATATATCTGATGCATGTTTTTTAATTTAGTGGGGACGCTTATATATGGTCGGTATTTTTTACGGACGAAAGTCGCAAAAGTATCATTTGAGCGCCTTTCTGGAAGATAAACCATCGTTAAAGTTCTAATCATAAGGAATGCATTATTTCGGCTGGACCAAACTGTTCATTCAGAGGTGCACAAGCTGTTAAGGAACTGAAAGTACATAAAAAATGCTGTTTATATATGGGAATTATGTGTGAATTATTGAAAGTTCTTTAGTGTAGTACTCAGTGCCTTGAAAGTGAATTTCGATGAGACCGAATTCTCCACAAGGCTATAGCAAAAATGAAACCACCTTAGTTTTTATAAGCAGCGCAAATAGACTATCGATGACAGTTCGACCGTCGTTTCCGACGATGTCCACCGTGTAATCCACAGCAAGGTGAGAGCAGGGACGGGGACTTGCGCGTGGTTTAGTTTATGGTGGATGCAGACTTTCACAGCATCCGCCGCACTTTCCCCTCCTCTCCCATCTGGACCCGGTGTCAAGACAGGGTCAAGAAGACCGGAGGCGGGGGAGGATGCATGTGGCTGGCACGGTCGAGTCCGCATTTTGGCGCTCCACTTCACACCCCTAACCGACACAACAATTGACCAGGTTTTTGACCACCAACAACATTGGGGAGGTGGCAGGGGTCCCAGTGTGCTCGATGTCTAACACCAGGCGGGTCTGCCATCGCACCCCGAAATGTTGGCATTTGTTATGGTATGCAATCCGATAACGCCCGCCAGAATTCGATATGTCCCCTGGGTTGGTCCACTACATCTACCAATTGGCCCGTTTGGGGGGTAAAGACAAGCACAAAAATATCACTTAAGTTGTAATACTGTGCGAATGAAATAAGCACATAGGGCAAGAATTATTGTGAGTGCTCCGCTGTTTATGACTTGACAGGTCTAATGCCTCATGTCCGCCGTCCTTGCATCTGTAGTTAATTTTGGGGAATTTAAAGATTTCCACGAATATTTGTTTACTTTTGAACCTTTCCTATTTGATTCATGGATTTCCATGAAAAAATTGTATAGAAATCAAATGGTTGCTACTCTTTAGATGCCATCTAAGACCCCCTGCATGACTAGCTTTGAAAATGATCTCATAGGAAGTCGGAAGTAATACTCTACTCTATCCTTCTTTTGAAGATGCAAAGTACTTCTACTTCTTTTTTAGCTTATAGGCATGGTTTTAGACTTTAAAAACGGCGTCCGTTTTGACAGCTTTTCTGGCTAGGCTAAGTTGAAACCACTGCTCTACCCACATTTACTTTCTGTAGCTACGGAAAATCATGACTGCTTGTAACTTTTACCCAACCACAATGAATTAAAACGAGACTGGACGTACGCTGATTGCTTTCGTCGATGTTGATGCAGACTGAAATGAGGAGGATGAGGGCCTAGTCCTTACAAAGAATTAAAGGATATTTTGATCTTTGTGGCGAATTTGGATCCCCAATCGATCTAGTTTGCCAGTGTCCGGTGCGAAAATTAATCTGGACTACATAGATTTAGATTCCTTGTGAGAATTCGAAAGAAAGGTCCAGGAAATTGGCTTGTCACGTTGTCGAAGACGGTTTCCTTGTACCTAGGGTAGTCTGGATGTGGAATCCTTATTGCTGCGTGAACCCAGAAGGTACGGACCGCCAGACTTGCCGAAAAGAAGAGTGGCATTGTGGGCGTTCGCATTGCCCACAGTTTTGTCCGGAGCACTTCAGGAACCGAATGCGTAGGCATCATCCTCGGGAAAGACCCCATTGGCTGGTACTTCGACCCACCTCCGGCGTATAAGGTCTGTTCACTTACAAGAGAGGCGTTGTTGCGACCGACCGTAAGGGGGACTAGGAACTCGCATGATATATGTGGGGAGGAAATTTACACCATTTCGGCGACTGCGCCTGACCCGACCAGGTTGAGTGGGGCGCACGGTTGGTTCCGATGGGTGGAGAAAGAGAAAGAAAGATCCTTCAGGATCTCTTATTCGCGATCAGAAACCGGAGTACTTTCGAGTTTTCGTAGTACAATGAAATCTTACACTTGAATGAGTTGAACCTGGTGTAATAACGAAGCCCTCTGGACTGAAGGTCAGGCTTCAGCTGTTCCGACTTGATGTGTCTTCTATGCTAAACCGCGCGTATGCGGCACACCTAGACGGTAGTTTTAGATGATGCAAGCTACCGAGCCCACGTCCTTCCGCATTCATTCTGGCCTTGCGTCTCTCTCGGAACACTATGGGTGTAAAAGGAAGGGATGAGATCAATATGGCGTAAATCGCTGCCCCTCCCTCAGGGTTGTTGATGCCGATCGTTGAGTTTGACGGACGAACCATGAACCTACAGGGTATTCGTCATTTCACAGACGAAGCCAGTCAGAGTCAAATAAGAACAAGTTTAACAACTATTCAAAGAAGGCCCGACAATCATGAACGCAGGCTAGAAAGAAAAATTGTCATTGAATCCCCCATCAGTAGATTCAAGTATTTTAGTCTGGCACAATCAGACCGTAATGCAAACACTTTAACAGTTAAACAGAGCAAAGTTAATTGCCAACAGCTGGGGCAATAGCGACTAAAATCCTTTGAAGAGCAAGACGCCCGACGTTAGTAACAACCCAAACAGCACGGCGGTTTTTGTGCATTTTAATCTTCAGAAGAGATGACAGTAAAATCTAATGCCCAGACGCAATATAACCAGCAAAACGTATTCCAATAAGCCCTCTCATGTCCTTCGTAAAAATATTTTGAATAAACGCGGCGTGAACATTCCTACGGTAAATAAGTACCGCCATCGTTTTTGGTAAAATACTTTTACTCTGGAATCCAGAGGCAGCATTCCACTTTATTTACCGCTGTTATACTGTGCGACCGGTCCGGCATGCCGACAAATCGATTGGTCGGGCTTTTGAAGCTTGTAGCCGCCAGTGCTGGCTTTGTTCATGCCGCAATTCTCTCCTAGGATGCATCCACTCACCAGTATGTTTACATTCAGTAACCAGCGCTCTTCAGCGCCACTAGTTGGTTTTTGTCTGCTTAAATACCCTAGGAGCGCTAAAATATACAGTCGGACCAGGGCATTACAGTGAATGGAATCTTGTTTTTTAGTGAATAATGTAAGTCCTTCACCTGGAAATGCCCAGCTGTTAACACACATTTTATCCTTAGAAATGAAAGAAAACGAGGCATGGTGGTCTTTTACTCTTTGGCGTCCATTTACTCCGGATCGTTCTTCCAACTGAATCCTAAATCCCGCGTATGTATCGATTGGTGCGACTAGAATATAGGCGTGAGAATATACGAAAGTCCCTAGAAAGTAGTGGATAAATCGTAGTTAGAATTTGTTGGCAGGTGACTGAGGTCTGGCAGAAGATGAAAATTTATTCAAAATTTGCTATGACTTCGGATCACGCTAATTATACCCTCTTCGTTCGGCTCCCTTTCGCTCCATGTCAATGAATTCATGGTCGTGGTTGCGTGTGAGTTTGCACATTCGTTTGTGTGTACCGGGGAGTGCACGCTCGTAAATTTGGCGAAACTATCCGAACCGAAAATGCATATGCAAATTAAAAGTTCAGCTCCCTTGCCTAGTGGGGATCGATGTGTGCACTTAAAACACAACTTTGGCACCCTGACCTGCGTCACTTGTACGTGTGCGAATACGTTACGCACTAAAAGTCAACGAATTGGGGACTATGGGTTTTTCGCGAGAGAGGAATGACTTCTGGATAAGTGCAAATCTGACTCTTAGGCAGCACCGAAACGAACCTCCATCGTGACCTCAGGCCCCGTAAATGAGGAAGAATATCCTCAGAAGGCTGTAGAACAAAAGAAGCCTGTGCTTACACACAGTACGCTACTCGCACAACACGAACTCCGTCTCTTATTGGTGAACATCGTGGAGACCCATAAAATTTCCTACTTCACGATACCCTGCATGCTGGAAGCAAAGTAATAGAATTTTTCTAATGAAAAAATGTACTAAAGGTTTTGCAATATTAATCTAAAAAATATGATCCGAATATGTTGCGACCACCAGCCATGGTAGTGGAATTTCGTTGTTGGCAGAAGTGCTGTTGCATTGGGGTCTTTTGCCTACGCAGTCCTAAGCTCAGGTCGCCATAGGCCTGTAAGCGTAAGTCATTTGTATGCTAACGCAGAAAGTGATACACAGAATGTTAATACATGCTATCTTCTGCCTCCCTCACCACCCGTCAGTTTACTTTAGCCCATCCAGACCGTACAGGTATCAGTAATAACAACGGGGATTTTGTTTCCTGGTCTCAGAACCGCAAACCAATAGCCAAGGATGCCTGGTAATCCTGCACTCTCCTGTGGTTGAAGAAGTGGTGAAAGTGGCATAGAATTGACGTCATTTATGCGACTTTATGATATACTCCAAGGATCGCCGTTGCTTTCAGCGTATTTATCCACCTCTCGGCTCACGGGCATTAATAATCAACACACATATCTGCTGTGATTAGGCTATGGGAACGTGTCTTCTGATTTTGGCCTATTTAATCTTCTTACAGACAGCTAATCAGCAGCTTGGATGCATTTGCTCAACTAGTATCTCGTAGACCCTTCCCTCATTCTCCCTCTCTTCCTCCTCCTCCGTCTCACCGCCTTCCCCTTCGCACCCACCACGTCTCCCTTGAGGAGCTGAACCATGAATATGTGAATAGTGATGGTAACGCAGAATGGATAACCCAGGGCACCGTAACACTTCGTCGTCAGCTTATAGCTGTAAGAAGTAAACTTCAGCGTCCCCAATGAAAGCGCCATGTGGGGAGCATTTTTATTGTATTGGATAAGCTACCAGCACAAAACGGATTTGTTATCTTTCTGGAAAGTAAGTCGGTTCTTTTCATGAAAGTTGCAATTATCTCAGTAAACTGTTGTGGGCCGACTCTTCACCTCGTGCTGGTTCTGTGGAAACAAATTTTATTTTTCCTGGTTCGCAGAATTGCTGGTCCCCGTGATGTTGCCTCCCCAGTCATAGCATACTGCAAGCCGTCGGAAAATTATTGGAGTGCCTTCAAGATGGCAGGACATTTGGCAGGCGATATGACCGTCCTTTTCCATTCACAGTCTGAAAAGGATCCCGTTAATACCTGTGGATCAATGTCCGAGGGACAAACAACAGATAACTTCCAGCACTAAAATATGACATTTGCAACAAAAATAAGGCTCTTAAAGGCCTTAAAACTAGACCCAGACGCCTACTTAAACTCTGCACTGATTCGCAAAGTTCAGTTATATTCTACGCTGTTATTCTAGAGGGTTACCCGTCGACCAAGTTAGGGGACATGTTTGTTTCGCTGGGTTTCTCGCAGACGGTCGCATGGCGACTAGTAAAATATGCAGATAGGCGGCACAGGCAAACACAAGAGAGACAGGGGTGACCACTTCCGGCTTGCTGACCGCCGTCAGTCAGCCATTCATAAACCTAGGTTTTCGGGGGATCTGAGGTTCATTCATTATTTAGTGTTCGCCAAAAAGGTCTCTATGTCCCATGTAGGCCCTAATCATTCTCTTACGATTCTTTTTAAAAATAAATCCATGACTAAAGGAAAAGTGTGGCCGACGAAGACAGGCGATACAGGACTGGCCACGTTTGGATTACGCGATTTTACCTGCCTGTCATCTGGCGGTTGCTTGTCGATATTCGTCTGCCTCTGTGCGCTTCTGACCCGGGAGCTTTACGGCGGAACTGATGTTTCTATTTCTGTGACGAAGGCGGGCCATATCATGGCACGTTGGTATTGTGTTGAGAGTCTTGCCGGATGATTAATTGACTAGGTTTCCGACCTTGACTGCTTAACTCAGGGGTACTTAGCTATCAGTGGTGGGTGACGACAATTACGTAAGTAAACAATGGCCATCGCACCGTCCTCCTCTTGGTCAACAAAACTTCCTGACTGTTGATTGTCCGTTAGCAGGCGACCGCATGCCCGGACTGTAGACCGCCAGCTATAGGGAAAAATTGTTCATTTTTGTCGCACAGTCAGAATAGACTGGTGCACGCCAGTCTCCCCTCAGCTCAACAAAAGACGGATTAAGTACCTAAATACCTCCTTTTCAACAATTCTCTTTCGTGGTCCTTGTGCCTGATTATCACCAGCCAGCCGTGGGAAATTCTGGTTACCTTTTCATGACACTCAGCTGGCAGTAGGAGACTAGGAGGATGTCTCCAGTCTCCTAGATGTCAGCAGGCGGACCATGAATAAGGTGATCCAAAACCGCTCCTATTATATTCTCATTTGATTCGCACAAAAATGCGCAAGTTGAAAAGCATAGGTTCTGCCGTTTGAAATTGCCTTCACCAACTGGTCACAACGGTCCCGTAGAGGAAACAAGTTCACCTCCTTTTTTAAAATATGTATTTCAAGCACCCAGAGCGAAGACTTCGTAAATTATTGACGTGTATATGAAACCGTGGTCCCCTTGTTACATAGGCATTTTTAAAAAGTCCGGGATGTATTCCTGGTCTTCAAAGTGAAGTATGGGATTGCAAGAATACCCGTAATGTCGATTCCCCAGCCAGGCATTCATACCCAGCGGATGTCCTGGAGGCCGGTCCTCCCCAATTTCCAGGCCTCTTGCAAGTGGGACGAGAAAAGAGCAGGGAAATCTATCGGAATGGTGGGGTAAAAAGTAATGCAAGGAGAATGGAACCGCTAGCGCCATCAGCATCTTACCCGACCAGGTGCAGTCGAGCCGGCACCTTTGAATTTCACCGGTCATATCCATCAGCTACTGCGCTGGCATTAGACTAAGAATGGCTCTCTGATGCCCACTTTGTGTTTGCAGACCATGGTACGATAGGGGTAGGTGGGGGCAGTTAGTATGAACTGGGAGGAAGAAGAAGAGGAAGCCGGTTTGCGCGTTCACAGCCACCCTTATGTCTGTCTCTGTATGCATGAGTGCCGCATACAAAATCGTTGGGGAAGAATTCAAACTGTTGTAACTAATACCGAAGATGTAACGAAATGCGATTAACACTTATTGAGACAGACGCTGACCAATCGTAGGATCCTTTTTTAGACTCAGTTAAGCAGTTAATTGATTTTGCACACCAGTCTGAAAACGAGCTGGGAGACCAGCCTCGAAAATTTACGCAATGAAGTTCCAGTTTCCCAAAGAATTTTCTCTTCCCAGATAGATATCTCTAATATGAACATATCCGATTGCATGTATGCGTTGAGAATGGTCAGAAAAAGATCATGATTTTATACCAATGGACGCTCACTAAGTTTGGTTGAATAGTAGTGGCGAGCCTGAAAAATACTTATAGCTTAACTGTGGGCTGATTTTGCCCTTATTCATAGCATTGTCTCTTAATTGTCTCCCATGAAACGCATGCTAGTTCGGTAATTTTCATCAAAGAAAGAAGTGTCCCTTGATCGAGCTTACAGGCGGATATGCACGAGCCACAATTATTTTGCAGTTCAGACTGACGCTTTTCTTAGGTTTGGTAACTACTGTGGCATGGAGCTTCGGTACGTCACAATTTCCGGACTCATCTGTAGTGAAGTCAAGTGAATGTGACCTCCGTTGTGATGTACACACTTTTTAAAATTTTCACGAATAAAAGAGAAGGGAAGAGGGGGTAGGAGGACAGAAGGGAAGCAGGTGGAGGATGGAGTGGAAAAACTGCCTACTTACCCAATTCATCGTCGCTGACGCGTTAGCGCACAACAGCACTAAGGTCATTTCTGTCAGGGCGATTAACCTTCAGAACTCCGGAGTGCCTTTGTGCGGAAATGCCTGCTATTCAATTGCGTTGGTGTGTGTGTGTGTGTGTGCACTTGCGAGAGGCATTCGCGTGAACGAACGACTGCGAAAGGCTTTGAAATAGCCGAAAAATCGATGCCTATTAATGTATGCTGTCGCCGCAGTGGTGATGGTGATTAGCATGCGTGCTTGTTCGTCACGGCTTGCGCCGCACGTGCGCACCATATATGCATTGACGCCTCAGCGGAGGCGGGTACCACCTCCAGTGGTGGTGGTGGTGGTGGTGGTGGCGGCGGCGACGACGACGACGACGACGGGCATGTGAATCCTCAAATGTACTGCGCACGCGTAAACCAGCGTGCACACGCATGTACGCACGCACCGGACAGCCTTTGATCGCGCCGCGCCTCACACAAAAGTACACGGAACCTCTATACCGCACAGCGTCTGAAGCTCTGGCCTTCTCGTCCCGCGCCTCTCAGGCACGGTGTCATCCAGTAGTCGTATGACAATAAGCCAGTGAGTCCGTGCATGCTCACCGCCGCGTCCCTTTGCCGAGAACTCGTCTATGAAAGCTTAGACAGTCAGTTTAGCAGTCATAGTCAGTTTTATTATTTGCTTTATCAGTCGGTTGCAAAGTCCCGTCGCTCGATTGGTGTTCCAGGCCCCAGTGCCCTCGGTTTGGGGGATGCCCTGGAGACCAAGGATTACGTGCATATAAACAGTGACATCCATTTTTCGTTATGTTTTAACGTCCTAATTTTTGACTTGAGATATACTATAAATAAAACGAGAAACCCAATGATGAGTTGTGCTGCAGAAAATAATCGAACGATGTGTTTAGACAAATAACATGGTAAAGAAATTTTAAAAGTACAATAGTATCTCAGACAATGACGAATCGAAGCAGGAACTTGACGGTTGCCCGTCTCGGTAACAAAGGAAATTAGTAAGGCAGTGAATGAGTGGGCCACTTGATCTCACCTCAGTTAATATTGTTATCATGCGCTAGTAACTGTTGTGGCAGGTCATTTCGTTGTCGCCGCTCCAACTAGCTTCACTGACCTAAGCCGAGAAAGACCTACTTGAGCCGGGCACGACAACAGAAGGAAATAAATGGCTTAAAATGAAATCGAAGTAGAGGCATGTTTTCATCTATGCTCTCTTGGCCACTCACGGACCGTCTGCTCCAAGGAGAAATGATTATTGATAGTACATTGTTTAATTAAAATATTCTACCTCCACTACAGGATCAACTTATACACTGTAAATTTGCGATTGCCAAGGTGACAGCCACAGGCAGAGGTTGACGGTCAATGCAAATGACCTCGGTGGATAGATATGCCGACATAATCTGAGCAAGACGCCAACACCGACTGCTGAATCACCTTACGTGATATGCTAACGATGGGTTGTCTAGCTTTCAAAAGACTGTTTTACAAAAAAAGAAGTGCTCGTTGTCAACCAGGTAAGCTCGTAAGACAGCAAATAACGAAAGACGGACTTCGTATGGTTTCGGTCGGACTATTGGCTTAAAGTTCGTCTCAAGTCCATTTTTTTGGACTTTGTTATTCTCTCATACGACACACCAGTCGAAGGAGAAAATAACTCCAATAAATTTAGCTTTCTAAACTCATCGTCTTCAAGAGCAGACACTGAGTGCCAGTAGACACTTGAAGGGGCACGCGTAACGGAGGTAACGGTCAGCCTCAGTCCGACGGCGCAGAGGGACGGAGTGGTCAGATGTTCAGCTTCATTTTTAGAAATGTGGAGTGGTCAGAGTCCCTCGCAGACACAGCACGTATCTGTAGGGAAGGTTTTGCGCCTTTTGTTAACAGCGGTAGCAAAGTATATAGAAATTTGCTTAAAAAACCCTCGTCAAAATGATTAAAAGCCATTCTTCCTCGTCTTTTGCATTTACAACCAGAAATCTTCTGTTGCTCATGGCGCTTTGCAGGCTGTGTAGAACCGTGAGATTCTGGTCTCATAAGAAACGAAGGGAATCTGATTGGCAAGTCCCGAAGGGATTTCGAAAAAACATCTAGGAGTGCCGTCATTTTTCTCTGGTTTCTTTGGCTCATATGTTGACTGACATTGGATATTTAAACCCCATCTGTTTTTTCTTCATTTTTCCTTTTCAGAAATGGGTATCGAGAGCAAAAGAACGCGACAAACCTACACACGATATCAGACTCTGGAGCTTGAGAAGGAATTCCACTTTAACAAGTGAGGGCCGCCTCTTCTGTCTCTGACATTTCACTTGTTTTTGTTGTTATGCTAAGGAGAACATAGTCAATAATCGGCAAACGTCATACATAGATACAGCTTCTCCATAGGGACTGGTCTCCTGCGGAATACTGTAAATACGCTTGCAGTCTCCGTGGCTTTCGAGCTGAAGGCGACTAGCAACACACCTGCAGGGAAATAGTTGGCTCTGGGCAATAAATGCTTGAAAGAGCTGCTCGCTGGTTATTTGGGAAACGCACAGGTTGAATTTCTTCTGACAATCACTTCAACCATGTCATACTGGGCACCCTCTTTACGACATGACAGACTGTCTGTTTTCGGTTGGTCACCCAAAGAGAGGAATTTTGAACATGAACTACCAGAATGCCCGCGAAAAACTTATACTACGGGCTGACTTTGAAAAGAAGGATAGGTAAAATCAAGTGTCCCAGTCACGCGTCAATTCAAACGTCTAGAATCTTTCGGGTCCTGACTTCAGCAATATTGAAATCAATGCCAGGCTGCTATGCAGGTAGTGGCTATGTGCGTGTGCATCTTGCATCCTCCATCAAGTACACAGAGACAGAAGTCAACCAGAGGCTTCACGAGCGCTTGAATTTGGCGAGGGTAGACATAGGTATGCGAGGTGGAGTGGGTACTAGGTTAGTTATGTCGTTAAATCTGTAACTGTTGATCTGGAAGCCCACTAAATCTGACCGAAGGCAGTTACGTTGGCACAGTATGCCTCTGTCCAGTTTACGCGCACGCTACCGATGAGACTCGTTGTTTAATCTCGACATAGGCGTTTGTGGGAGAATAAGTGGCCTTCATTTAAGCTTTCAAACAGGCCTAGCAAAATCAAATGCACTGTATGGTCAGACCGCCGACCTTTAGGTTAGTGCCAGTCCCAGTCGACAGTGTTCTCATGCAGTCATTGATTCAAGTTGCTACTCCATCCAACCTCAACGTTGACGATGAAAGAGCTTGCTGAGCTAAGTATTAGAAAAGAACGTCGTGTCCGTTTGGGTTAGTGAATTTTCTACCACCTACAGCTCTCGCACCCACAAATCCTGGGAATAAGGCTGTCTGACAGAAATCCTAGGCATCCAACTTTCAGATTTTAGGAGGCTGCACCGTCCCACCATGAGCGGTGGGTTAAATCACATTTGCGTTGTTACCCGCCCAGCCTACTGCAGTGTTTGGAATCCACCAGAATTTGCGGAGGACATCCAAAGCTGAGGTCAATCGGGAAAAGCGTGTGAGGGCATCGGAACATAAAGTGCCTAAACAATTGATATTTTTGGCACCAGTTCCACCAGAAGTGGTATATTCCAAAAGCTACAGTAAACTTGGCCCAAATGTGATCTAACTCACGACTTCCGGTGGGTTCACTTAGGTCACGTGGCTAGAGCGTTGGCTGTACTGAAGCCATGCCCTTGCTGTCGTGGTTTCGAGTCCCACCGGGACCGCCGAGTTTTTCAAAATTGGACCAAACGAATAAAGGGCTTACTCATCTGCAGAAACACTAACAATCGTCCTTCAGCGCTTGTTTTTTTTACACTTTTCATTAGAATAATAATGCAGCTGTGTACAGCAAACCCGTCAGTGACGTCTACTGAAGCCCGATGTCATGCTTCTTCCGTTAGGCAGGCCTTCTGCATGGCGTCTCATACACAGATCCTCCGAGCACACATTAAATTTCCATTCTCCGTGTTGCTGCAATAAATATCGGGTCTCGTCATGCACAGTGTCCATAGCGTGTGCCGGCCCTCGCTGAAGAGCCTCAGAGCACAGCAGACCGGCCAACGCCTCCTCATAATTAATGTATTAATCAGCGCGAGACAGTGAGAGTCAAGTAAGAGAGAGAGAGAGGGGAGAGAGAGTAGTAAGCAAGCCACCGCCAGCAGAGCGATATCGATCACTGACTGTGGCGTCATCGGCGTCTGTGTTTAAGGCCCTACACAACAACGCTCTGGTCGCAGCCGACGTCCTCGTTGTCACAGTTTAGTACACCAAGCCGTTCGTGTTTGAACCCTGGCGGCGACAGTGGTGGCGGTAGCGGCGGCAGCCTTTGATCTCCTTTACCGCCCAGCGGGCAGACGGTCCGGAGACCAAGCTGTCGAATTTCTCCGACAGTCAACTTTGACAACATGCGAGTCCCCAAGTGGTTTTTTCCTGCACAAGAGCAGGACGGATTAACAACCGCAGGTTTTGACATAGTTCTATGATAGTTGATTCGTCTCTGTTGACGAAATACGACAAACAGCAGCAACGGGAGTAACCTAAAGCCGCGGTTTTTCGTCGTATTTTGCACGCCTCTAGAGAAAGTACAAGATGGAGCAAAAGCAAGCTAGATAAAGAAACAGAGTCGGAGGAAAATACGGAGACGGTGGATGTCTGCCTCTAGTAGTAGTAGTCTGCCTCTAAATAAGGTCGAACCTGTGTACACGATCTGCACTTCTTGAGTATTCTTGATCGCAACTGTGGAGTGCGGGCGCGCAATCCAAGTGGTCGGATGCGAACTGCAATGACTGGTCGGATTCGGGATCAACTTTTAGGCCTTCCTAGTCATAAGTCGAGTAAAGCTGGATGTCGACGGCAAAGGGCAGAGAGGTGAACAGGGAATGTGAAACCAAGAGTACAAACCGGGACACGAGCAGGAATGCATAGTTAAGTTCAATGTAAAGTGTCAAGGTTCCACCCCTGTCCCCTGCAAATAGTTCACGCGATTTATCCTTTCCTTGCGAAACCTATCATTAGCCACTTCGATTTTGGCAACTTCATATTCATGAAGGCCACGAAAACTGCAGATCATGTGCTCTATTCATTTCTCGTATTGTGGCTGTCCTTTTTTATAAAATCCCATCACTTCCTGCAGATACCTCACACGGAGGCGAAGGATTGAAATTGCCCATTCCCTATCGCTCACTGAACGACAAATCAAAATATGGTTCCAGGTGAGTATTTCTTTAGTCCTTTAGTGCAATTATGACTGTCTTACGACAAAAACAAAGTGAATTTAGACGCAACAGGAAGAAACCACAGATTTATTTGGAGGTCGACGTGGGGTTGGAAAGTTAAAGGTTGAACTGAGTCAGTGCCCCTTCATATAGCACAATTGTCCTGGCAAGGTAAACTGCTAGCTCAAGGACTTTCTCCCAAAAGAGCGCAACAGCCGAGATTTTCGGAAAAAACTTAGACAGAAGCCGACTGCAACGCCTGGCATTACTGCACTCCAAGCTTTCCTTAATGGTGTTAATGGTTAGGGCACATACTATGCGGCCCTCACCTCCAAGTAGCAACAAAGTTTTGAAGCAAGATGGCGTTTGTTTTGTCGAGCCAATAAGCATCTGCAGTCGTCTTTACTTGGTGACTGGGCAACGGTCCGCACACCGTGCCCCAAGCGAAAACTCGCTTAAGAAACACAGTAGTGTCTTCATTGGAGGCTTGTGCGTTCGAATGAACTGATTCGCTTGTCATGTGACGAATGTGTAAACTCTGCCGCTGCTGCTGCACAGGATGAGAGGGAATTCATGACCCTTATGCAGTCGCTTGTCAGCTGGCCACTTCATGTTTACGTCGGCAGTCAAATTTCTCAACGAATTGGGCCCGTTTTGACCATTCTGCAGATGTTACTTGCAATATGAAAACCGATAGCGATTTCAGCCGCAAGCGAGAGTTACCGATGACTCAGTCCGTTAGTGTTAATTGTGTCAAAATTTGAAAAAACCAGAATAACAATTATTGGTAGGACTGACTTATATGCCCCTAAATAGGACATGCGAATAGTAACCACCCGCAATACGGGTGACTTTGAGCCAATTTCCAGTAAACTTAGGGTTAGGTTTAGGGTTGGGTTAAGGATTAGGTTTACGGCTAGATTCAAAGTTTACGACAAGGTACGTCAGGGTCAAGTCTAGGGTTAAGGTACGGACTAGTGCTGACAGCAGAGTTAAGGTTTAGGGTAGGGTCAGGGTCAAGATTAGGACAACGGCTTAGCTTCATATAAGGGGTATTTTTGGGGTTAGGACACGGGAATATCTTCACCTTCCGGAATTATATGCAGGCCCACATTTCTAACTTGGACGGAGCGCACCTATTCCCATGTCCTGTTTAGGGGGTCATATAATTCAATCCTACCAAATTACTGCAGGTAAATGTAGAGGAGGCCAAAACTGACGTTTCCGGCCCACTTTCTATCGTCGGAAAGACCAGAGGTCTTAACTTGGACTGAATTAGATATTGGGCCTCAGCCCACGTCACAGAGGGCTGGAACCGTAAATACTGAAAACCACTTGCTAATGACGTTTACCGGTTTTTCGGATTTCAGTACAGAAATTAAAGCCGTAAAATGTTCATACTCGGTTTAATAGTTGGAACAGATGGGTGAATACCACTCTCATGCGACTCCAGAGAAGCCTGTCGGTGGACAAGCAAATACTGGGAATTTGTTATCTGAGTCTATTTACTGCTCACAAGACATTTGCGAAGCAGGATTTTTAACGACTTCTTCAGCTGAGCTGCAGAAGTTTGTCAACCCTGTTCAGTTATGGACCGATTCTTTTCTTTTTCCCCACTCACGCGGTTTTCGGAGGATCAGCTTTCCTGCTTGAGTACATAGAGTTCGCAGTGGGTTCGTCCGTCGATTTTGATGATGTCCACCGCATGCTCCACAGCGGAGTGACAACAGGGACGGTGAATTGTGTGTGAATTACTTTGTAGTAATGGTATACTTACACACCAGCTACCACACTCTCCTCCTCCAACTGGACCCGGTGTCATGACCAAGTGAAGAAGACCAAAGGTACAGGTATTTGGTGTGGTGGAAACCTGCACCTAGACGTGCCACCACATCCCCTGGTCCACGACAAACACTAGACTGGAATTCTTAACAGCGCTAACAGAAAGGAGGAGGAGGCGGCTAGGATCCCATTGGGTACAGCACGAGTCTGCAACTGGGCCTGCCACCGCGCCCCGAATGCTGGCATTTGTTATGGGTGCACATTCCCGATAACGTACGGCGGACTCCGATGAAGCCCTCATGCTGGTCCAGTACACCTACCGCGTAGTCCATTTAAGGGGCACTCGCAGTAGGTAATATGGTCAACACATGCAGAAACCTCAAGGAGCGACTGTCTGGCTGGTTTACCATCAGTGGATTTCCTGTGCAGACAGACGGTGGTTCCGCGTCCTAGTTACTGAAAGCGAAAAAACACCATCCTGTATTGAATCTTAATTAGGTCGAAAACCTGCTGATACGACGTATTCCAGATCCAAATAAAACAGTATGGTGGCGTATTACCATCGAATGATGTACAAGCAATGAACCTGACGTCATTTAGAACATAGGTTTGCGAATCCAGAACTTCACACTTTTCCGCCTACTTTTTTGCAGAATCGACGAATGAAATGGAAAAAGGAGCATCATATAGCCAAGCTTAACGGTCCTGGTACCCTTGAACAGCTGGAAATGATGGAACAAGCAGCAAATGCTTCGGGTGGCTCCGGTGAAAATGGCACTCGACCACCAACGCAGCTCTTCCAGACCTCACCACCGCACAAAATGCAATCGTCCCAAGTGCATCGCAGTAGTGGTACCTTCGACTCGGACCGTCGCTCCGTGGGGACTCCCAGTGACTCCGGTGTCTCCTCGCATCCCATTCCCGAGGTGGAGAAGACCGGAGTGGGAATTCTGTATCAGCGCCCTGAACTGTTAAATAACTGTTGCCCACGTGTAGCCTCGTCCACTGGTGCCGTAGGCGAAGAAAGCAAAGAGTACCAGGCGGAAGAAGAGGGAACAGTTGTGGAGGAGGCAGTCAGTGGACCAAACAGCGACATCTACGACTCGAGAGAGGCCAAGAAGTTTAAACGGCCCTCCATCTCCCCGATCTCGCCTTCGACCGCCGGTGCGGTGGCTGAGGAGAGACAGACAGCATCGGCAGTAGCAACAGCACCGCCACCGCCGCCACCACCGACCGGGATCTGTTACAACTCCAAGATCTGCCACTATATGCCGAAGGACTGTCCCCCACAATTTCAGGACGCCTTCAACCAGGCAGCGATCATGGCCTCGCAGCAGGCCATCCAGGGGGAAATAAACCACTCAGACAAGTCTGGATGACACACGAACGCACCCATACCCGAATACGCACACAGACCTGGAGACACACAATGATTTTGAGAAGAGTTATGCTGATGACAGGGGGGATAAATCGTGATTTTCGAACTCATCACTCTTCCCAGCAGACTACCTTTCAGTGGGTGTCGAATCTGCCCATAAAGGTTTACTAGTCGTCGTTCTGGGACACTTTTCCAGCCTTAACCCAAAGAATGTAGCCTTGAGCATGTTTTTTGCAAGCCAGCTTATGTAATATTGAGCATTTACCCTCTCTAGTCACTTACCTGCTGCATGCCATAAACGTCCCGCCATTCCCCTGTCCCCAATAATAACACAGCAAAATGAGACCCCACCACTCTCGACCTCTGCACACGTCCCCCTTCACTCATTTCAGTCTTGTGAAAACATTTTTGCAACAGCTGCACCCAAACCCGAGGGTTGACCCCAAGGACCCGACCAAGCGTGCTGTACTTCAAACTGTATTAGCACCTGATCCTACCAAAAGAAGTAGTTTACTGCTGTTCTCTATTACTCAGCTTTTTCAGAATTAAGTGCTCTTTATTAATTCCAAAGCTAGAGTTGTAGACAACGACTGCTGCCGGGGTACCAATACGCGGTTAATTCATAGTGAAGTGAGAGACTTATCAGGCCTGATGCAAACTAGCATCATAAACTGCGGTGTGTCTAAGTGCACAAATTTGACGCCATTTTATGCTCACACCGGTCCATTGCGCATGCAGTAATCCGAAAATTCGAGTGTTCAGTAAAGAATTCATATGTCGTAGAAGATGATGTTCACTACTCTTCTGTGGCAACAGTATGACTGCAGTGCGATTTAGAAGTGACTTCCGACGCACCTACCTCACTCGTCCTTCTCGCGTACCGTGTTCACATGCCTAGGCGGAATAGAGGTGACTACAAATGGACGTTAGCACAGGGTCTGGTGGAACTAATTCGACTTAAACGTCGGGCGCAGACACATTGGTTTCTAGACTTACCCAGGCCAAGTTTCAATTCCCAGGACTCCGCATGAAGGATAATTGCCATAAAGTTCCCATAATAAAGAAATCGTCGAAGTCTGGCCCTCAAACCGGGGGAATCTCGAGTTAGCCCGTCAGTTGCAACTGTTTCAAGCGTGATGTCGGTTCAAGAGACTATCAGACTAACCATTGCGAGAAAATTCCTTGCAGATTCGGGCTTACTCCCCTTTTCCTCTGCCTGCGTGCACTGGTGACAAGTCCTAGTTAAGCTGATTGGACATTAAATCTACCGATGAGACTGAAGTGACGCAAAACAATTCTCCAACATTCCCCTCGCAATGTTTCTCTACATCATAAATTAGACGCAACTGAGCGGTCTGTTTTGGTTGACATGTACGGCCCGCTCAAAGAGCATGACACGGAAGCCACAGTTACGTCCAAATGATTTATTAAGGCAAGTATGAAGACAAAAGAATGAGAGGAGGACGGGTGAAGCACAATTCAAATTCCGGCATGAGGTTACCCTGCTGGTCAGTGTAAATAATTGTGAACGTTTCTTGGCGGGGGGGGGGAAGGGTGGCTGAAACCGGGTTGAGGTTCTCGATGTTCTGACGATTTTAGATATGGTATACTACAAGCTAATTACAATAAGGAAAACTTCAGGAATGCAAACTAGGCGGCTTTGTCAAGTAAAAATCCGACGGCTTCCAGTCCTCGTATGATGAACTTAAAAGTGTTTTGTGCGAACCTGGAATTGCAGCGGTCCTTGGTTTTCAAGTCGATGTTGATGGAATGGGCAGCACGGGACACCCGCTACCTCGTAAAGTGGTCAAAAACGTCCTTCGAAATGAAAACTTAAAATAAACCGCCAAGTAATTATTGCTTCATCATCCCGACAGTCGCCTCGAAAATTTGTAACGTATTCGCAGTGCCTGGCTGATAGCCTCGAAAAACCGGCGGCCTTTATTGCGTACACTCCAGATATGTTATGCGTCGGCCATGCAAATGCACACGTTCAGGCCGCGAAGATCTGAGCGTCTGTAAACTTTGCAAACGCCCAGAATTAGGTTCGCCTCTGAATGCGTTTTGCATTTCATCACGGGCCCCTATCGCCTACTATGGCCCGCCTACAAGATTGTCTACAAGAGAACCACGAACACCTATGACCCTTAAATAACAATGGTGGCACGGAATCACTTCCTTGCTAGCTCTTTATAGTCTTCGTAATGTCTGGTTCCCAAAGTTCTCAGCTAGGAAAATAGTTTTCTTAGTAAATTTGACGATAATTAATCTCCACATAGACTCAAGTCAGATAACACACGAGCCACGCAAAGTTAAGTGTTTGGAGTAGGGAGCTGGGAGATATATCCCACAAACAGCGTTCGGTGGGAAGGAGTACTTGCAGCAACCACTCCGACAACTCCTAACGGAACTATGCATATTCACGAAGGTTGTCCACGACGCGGGCAGGTTTATGCATTACTAATACAGTATGCGGGAATAATTGTGAGTCGGTATTATTAAGTCAGTACACGCATACGTACAGTTACCATACGGGGAAACAATTAGCAATTAATGTAGCCAGTCTATCGTGGCCAGCAGAGCAACTACTAGGTGTCCTGGCGCAACCTCACTAGCCACCAAAATGTTCAGCCCCAGAGAGGACATAACGTGTGGGGGACTAGTCCTAGTTGTTCTAAAGAGGACAGCGCCTTTTTGCGCTCCTGATCATCAATAATGGCTTAGCACACATAACTGCCAAAAACGGCAGTCGGCGGTTAAAGTTATCTTGTGGCTTCTGGATTATTCGGTCCGGGACACCCAGTCCTCCTCACTTAAGCGGACATTTTGGCAAGCGGTGCTCAAAATACACAAGTCAAGTAAATAAGACTCTTTCTTCGATGAGTAAGGACTACATCCAATGAAGACCCACTTATTTTATGTAACCACAGCTTTTCCTGCATAGGAGAGTAAATGTGCATGAACCTGACTACTGCATTTATTTCACTAATTTTCGACCGTCGTTGACGACGATGTCCACCGTGTGCTGCGCAACAAGGTGAAGCGGGGACAATTACTTTCGCATGAATTAGTTTATAGCGACAGCAGACTTACGCAGCATCTACCGCCCTCCCTTCTCCCTCCGCATCTGGACCCAGTGTCAAGACAGAGTAAAAAAAGATCAGAGGCGGGGAAGAACACAGGTGGGTGGCACGGTCGAGCCTACACCTTGGCGCTCCACTCCATATCCCCTGCCCAATACAGCAAATGACCAGGATCTTAACTAACAACAGCAGAGAGAATGCAGGTTGGCGCGGCCGAAGCTGCATCCGGCTCGGATCCCACTTAGTGGGAGTGCCATAAAGGCCAAAGTAATAGGCAGCCATTACAGCCTGACTCTCAGACCATCAGCCGGTCATTCCACACCAGCAGATACAACACTGGGCCGATTGCGAGATCCAAGTTATCCCATCGGTTGGTAACCTTCTAAGTTACGGCGTTTAGTGCTCCGTGATAACCTCGAGCGCATCCGACTGTTTATAGTGAGGAAAATGCGTTGGGTAGTCGATCTCACTCTCCTCATTCCCAGGCCCAGCCACTATCCGAGCCGGTGAGTTGGCTGATGCGGGCAATGGGCGCGGTGGCTGACATATCTAGTGACCTTGTCTGCGCGCGTCACATGCACGACCTGGCCCCCCAAACACAAGCGCCAGGATTCCACAAAACGGGGATTGAGAGGCGTACATCTCACACGCGTGAGAGTACTGTAGATCATGCTAAGAAGAAGCCCTTTCAGCATAGCTCTCAGCCTACCAGTCCGCGACTCCACACAAACACAACTGACCGGACTGCATGGATTGAATTGGGGCATCTGTCAGCAGCCTTTCAAGTCACGGTGCTTAACGCACCGTGATAGTCTCAGACTCGAGTCACATATGTAGCCGAGGAGCCGGCATGCAGACGGAGTCAAGACGCACACTTCCCACTTGCGCAGGAGATGGCATTTGGGTGCTTGTGGTGGGTGATGTTGATGTGCGCTGAGATGCTCGTGAGGGAGGATGTGATGGCGTGGTTTAGTCGGCGGTTGCCCACTGCAGGTTTACGTGGACGCGCATGTAGCCTAATAGGCCTATGTGGTGCATGAATGTGCGATTGCAATGTGGAAAGGGGAGGCGAATGCAGCGAGTGTAGGCTGGTGCTCCATTCACTGGTTCGCCAGTCTCTCCGCGATGGATGCGTAAGTGACCGACCATCCCGATGTGTTAGGCGAATGTGAGGGGACAATGTGAACATGGGAAGTCGGCGGTGTCAGTATTAACTACGTTGATGGTGATGGTGTTGGTGTTGGTGGTGGTGGTGGTGGTGGTGGTGGTGGTGGTTGTGGTGGGCGCGCTCAGCGACGTGGTATTAGTAGGGCTGAGCGTGGTGGGTGTGGAGGATGTACTGGATGTGGTGGAGCTGGTGGCGACGGGCGCGTAGGGCGGCGGAGTGAGGGCGGGGCTAGGCATGGTGGATGTGCGAGAGGTGCTAGGTGTGTCGAGACTGCTGTCAATTCTGCTCTCGCGAATACGTATGTGACCGAATAGGCCCGTGCGGCGAGTGAATGTGCGGGGGCAGTGTTGACAGTGGAGACTGATGGGGCGAGTTTAGGTTGGTGCTTCATTCACTGGTTCGCCAGTCTCTGTGCGATGGATGCGTAAGTGACCGACCGGGCCAATGTGTGAGTTGAAGATGCAGTCGCAATAAGGACAGGTATGGATCGAGTTCACATCGCTGCCGTTGACGGCGGAGAGGTTGATGTTTGTTGGTGTGTCAGAATTGTGTGCAGTGGTGGTAGCTACAGGAGCCGCCGCAGTGGATTTTGGAGCAGTGGAGGAGGATGAGGATGGTGGAGGGGGTTCGGGAGTGTGGTCAGTGTTAGTTGTCGAAGTGGGGGATGAGGCAGAGTTGAGCGGGGAGACAGCGACTGGTGTAGTCTTGATGTCGCAGTTGGTACGAAGAAGTCCTAAAAGGTTGATTAGTGCTCAACTTGTCCGCTGGCGCGCGGGCAGGTCGGAGGCGGTTGAGCGTTGGCACTGCGGAGTGGGCGCAGTTGGGATTTGCGAGTCTCGCGTTCGGCTTTAGTGGTGGTGATGCGGGTAGCTTTGTAGATCGTTGCACTTGTTTTCACCCTCCTACCCGAAGTCGTTCGGTCTCGGACGGGGTCTTCCAAGTTGGCCGGGTTGATCTGCAGGCGCTTCAGGGAAGTCTTCAGATTGCCTTTATAGTGACGGACTTGGCCTCCTTGTCAGCGGGAACCTCTGGCGACGTCTCCGTAGAAGATTCGTAAGAGTAGTCGCTCATCGTCTATCCGCACGAGGTGGCCGCTCCAACGTAGTTGCAGTTGTCTCAGAATGGCGTAAATGCTGAGGATTCCCGTCCGCTCCCGTATATCCTTGTCCGTGGTCCGGTCCTGCGGCCTCACCTTCTGTATCCGTCGAAGACCGCTGAGGTGGAAATAATTGAGTCTTCGCGCCCGCTTCTTGTGCACCGTCCAGGTCTCTGCTCCATACAGCATTATCGGCAGGATAACTGCCTTGTGCATCTCCAGTTTGGTGTTAAGATAAAGACTTCGACGGTTCTAGACGACGATTTCCAGATCACCGAAGACTTGGCTGGTTTTGGAAATCTGACGGGCTGCTTCATCGTTGATTTTGGTGTTACAGGAGAGGATGTCGCCCAGGTAAATGAAGTTATCCACAACTTGCAGTTGGGCGCCGTTCTCGTTGATCTTTGATGCGCCGTAGGCAGCGTCGGGTGGCAGTTGGTGCATGAACATCGCCTTCTCCGTGTTGATGACCAGGCGGAAGTTGTCGCAGGCGGTTGCGAAGAGATCCATGATTCTTTGCATATCCCCTTCAGAGGTGACGTTGAGTGTGCAGTCGTCGGCGAAGAGAAGTTTACGGACGGTAGTAGTGGATACATGTGATTAAAAGTGCATGCACCGACGGTTGAGTTGGCCGACCGTCCTGTAGGCCGCGCGGATCCCTGGACGTTCGTGTAGCAGGCGTCCATTCGCATGGCAGACAACATGAGACTGGAGAGGGTGGGCGCTAGGACGCATCCCTGCTTCACACCAACGGTCACTGCGAATGCCTCTGAGACAGCTCCCTAGTCCGTGACTCGTGCAATCATGCCATCATGAAGCCGAAGCACCATCTGAGTGAATCGCTCGGGACAGCCGAATTTCTGCATGATTTCCCACAGTCCTTCGCAATTCACCGTGTCGAAGGCTTTTGTCGGATCCACGAAGGTAGAGTAGTGGTGGGTCTACATCTGCTGACACTTCTCCTGCAGATGGCGGGTGGCGAAGATCATGTCGGTGGTTCCGCAATGACGACGGAAGTCTCACTGGCTTTCCGGTAGGATATCCTGTTCCAGATGGTTGTTCAGGCCGTTGAGGGGAACGTGAGCGAATATCTTCCCCGCGACGTTCAGCAAGAAGATGCCTCGGTAGTTGTCGCAGATTTTACGGTTCCTCTTGCGCTTGTAGAGGTGGACGACGTTGGCATTCTTGAAATCCTGCGGAACTTGGCCTGGACGCCACATCTCCTGAAAGAGCGCCGTCAGATGGTCCACGAGTTGGAGCCACCGTGCTTGCAGATCAAAGCAGGGGTCGTGTCCGATCCAAGAGCTTTCCCGCTGGAGAACTGCTGCAGGCCCTGGTGGTTTCGTGGAGAGAGAGCGCGGGAGGTCGAGGTCGGCGTTGGTTTCCACTTGAGGCAGACGGGTGATGGCGGTGTCGGAAATAGTGGAGAGGCGATTGAGGACGTTTCTGAAGTGCTCGGCCCATGGATGAAGAGCTTGTGTTTTTTCAATGAGTAGGGCACTGCCGTCGACGTTGAGAAGAGGAGCAGTTCCTTTGGTTGGCGGACCATAGACAACCTTGATCGAGGCAAAGTAGTGAAGGAGTTTTGTTCCTTGTTTGGTTGTTTCAACCGTGTGTTTTGCGTCTGCGGGCCGCGGTCAGAGTGCAGACGACGTGAATCCCGGCATTTGTTTATGGTACCTTCCCCTCGCGGTGGAAAAAGCAGTGCTCTCCCTAAATTGGGCTGCTCAGTCACCCCAGACGGCTGCCGAACTCCGAATGGGTCACGACTTTGGTTTAGTGGGAGAGCGACTCGAGTTACCGTGGGTCGCCTACGTGATCGCTGTCGCTCAAATCGTGGTGCTTGAAGGGGAATTGGCAGAAGGGTAGGTAGAAGAGATGCATAGCTTTCCCGTCCCTCTATAAGCGAACTGGTTGCTGAAATATATAAGCGGTGATCAGAAGGACTCTCCAGAACGGTATTTAGCTTGCAACAAGGACGGACACAAACAAGCAGACCAAAATCAAGCAGGCAAGAACAGCAAAAAAGCAAAGGCAACAGAGGAAATTCAAAAGAGCTGCATTTTGCCTTCAATAAAGAGGAACAAACAAGCAGACAAATAGCAAGTCAGCAGAGAAATGTTTGTTTACCTGGGGACTCTCTTACCTTGTGGCCTCCTGTGATGTTGCAGACAGAGTCTCATCTCGGAGATACCGAGTCGGTGATCCATCCAGCCGGTGGAGCAAATTTCCCGTGTGGGGAGATGCACACACGGGCACCCTCACCTGGTTTAGTCCGGCGGTCGAAACGGTTACCGCTGTGTAGCCACTAGGAACAGCCTAGCCTGGGAGAGCCACATGTGAGTGTTGGGTGTCAGTTAATGGACGCTAGGCGTGGTAAACACCTACAAGCAAGCGAGAGACCTACTATGACCGTCACGACTGGACACTCCTACACCCCGGCTATATTCCTAGTTATTGTCCGGGACTTTGCTATTAGAATATGGAGAACAGGTGTAATTTGTAGTGTCCTTTGTCCTTGCGTCTACAAATCCATAGCAGAACCTCTCTAGAAAAATAAGGAATGTTCACGATAAAAATTATTCGGCATTTTCTTTACTTCTCCTTTCAAAACCGACAGTTATACAAAGCCGGTTAGCATCTATAGTTCAGGTGTTTCTTCAGTGGACCTGGGAATTGGAGGCCTTACCCACGACCGACTGGAGACCTCCGGTATCTCTTTAGAATCTTAGGAAGAAATACGCATATTTCCGTTAAACTCTGTTTTGCAATTCATGCAATATATACCAGGTTAAAGAAGGAAGCAATTTCTCGCCAGACATTCACCAACTTATCATCATGGACGATTGTGGCCGAAATTTTTTCTTTTGACGGCCATCATGGAGAGCGACCAGAATTTGCACAATATTAAAAATCAGCCCCTTCCGACAATGAAATTGCCGCCTTTTCTGATGGGCAAAGACATGTTTCTTTTTGAGCATGACTTATCTCGTTAGAAGGTTCGAGGAACGTTCATTCTTGGTAAATTTTGCAAAACCAGTGAAGTGCCTGGTACGTTTTGCATTTTAGCGTGTCCTTGTCGACAACGGTAGGGTGAGGAATCCCAGTTAGTTGCCGGTAGACCAGAGATGGTGTGCTGACGTATTTACTTGCAATATATTACTAAGTAAGTAGGACTAACAGTTGTGTTCAAGAGCGGAGGAATAAAAAACGGAGATCAATTGATCACGAATTTAGGGATAACAGAGATATCTCCCAGGGGATAGACTGGGTTGTTCAACGGTCAGGCACTCTTTCAAGATGCAACACCATGGGATATCCAGCTGGATACCGTATCTGCATACATTCATCATTTTACTCAAAAGTATCATTTTTGTCACCGACCGTCTTCCGTGTAATTCGGAATTCTGTCAGTTTACACGTCTGGTGTGCAGCCCCACCAGCAACTTCCCCTCCCCATTACTACCATTCCCGCATGACATGATCTACAGCCCGCCGACTGTTGACTGGGGTCCTCCACCTTACCGTCGCCTCCTTGTGGAATTGCTATAATGCATTTACGTGCCTGTGGGAGGCTGCTAAATTTCAAATCATCCAATCATAACAAATGAATTTGCTTCAGGCACTGTTTAAATAGTAGTTTTAAAATTGCATTTTACCTTATTTAAGTTAAGTTTTATCCGAGATGGCTATAGATTTCATCAGCAAAATTGCAGGTAAAGTGTTTGAATTAATCTACATAAGTAGTTAAGTGGCCTGCATGCACGTCTAGGAGACAGATTTTAACAGCCAATAAACACATTTTTGAAGACTGAAGTGCACAGATAATATTTCGCTCTTCAGTCTCACTTGAAGAAACCGATCTTCAAGCTAGTGAAATCTCCATTTACATCGGGCAGCCCCCTTTGCTTAAAAGTATGTAGGTTTACTATTTGCAAGTCAGTCAATACCCCTTTGAGGGGACTCTCTGGTCTTCGAAATCATGGTGCGCAATATAAATAATATTAGAGACATATTAGGACGAAAGAATGGTTTCCAACGAATAAGTGGTACAAACGATTGAGAATAGTTAGTAGATCCTCGTGAAGCCGACTCGACTGTTCTGAAAAAGGCTGAGTGGATTCTTAGAGTAAATTCCTTTTGACTGAGTCAATCAGTTATTTCGGTCAAATGTTGTACGCTGTCTTTCTAAAAGCCCAGTTGGAATGAGAGCTGGGAAGAAAAACCACTTACGTACTAGGTATGATTTGAAGGCTGAGACCTCTACGGATGCAGGATTCAGAAAAGCCGAAATTGGAGATGGTCACCAACACGGCCAGCTTTTTTCTATAGCAGACGGCGAAGCTTTGCCGTGAATAGAGAACACTGAATAAACTCGAAAGCCGGCAGTTTACACATGTGTGTGAGGCAAAAACCATGGTAGTCTTAGTAAAGGGGATCGTTTGAAGACTGGAGATATCAGTGCGAAGCAAAGGTTAGATGAGATTTAAATTGCGCCAATAGAGAAAAACCTTTTCAGTGCTCGCATCGTATAAATGGTTCTGAAAGCACTTGTGGCATACCCAAGACTGATTTTCGTCCAAAATACTAATACAAACATTGGTTATACACAGGAAAACGATTCCTCTCTTAGTACTGTTGATCTTGCGCTAAACCACAGGGAGATTGGAGTTAGACTACGGGATTAGTCGCCTCCTCAGAATGTAGCGCAACGCCATCTGTATTACAAGGGTTCCTATTCTGGCGTCTCCCCCAAACACATTTAAGAAGGCGGTTCTTCGAACGAAACTCTGCCAACAGAATTATTAGCGTATAACCTGATGTAAAACACTTAGATCTCTCGATACTTTGAACCGTGCTTGGCTTTGCTGAATTTACTAAACGACATTCAGGATAAGTCTTACGTACACCTTTACCAATGGGTGGCATCAAGTAAAGGAATCAACCTTTTGATATACTTGAAGAGCGGAAGAAATGCAGTCGATGGTGTTTAATCTTTAGGAATTTGGTCAAACGGTTTTTCAAGCGCTGAAATGGGTTGAAGAAGAGGCAGCCATTGGTTTTGACGATCCAGAAACAACCTCGGGACTGCCACTCCTTTCTTTTCTGCAGTGAAGAGTACTGGATGAGGCACTTCCTCAACTAGAAATGGAGAGTTAAACATTACTTTCAACCTATGAGAAATTTATGCAAAATTTTGGTAAAATCTGCAAGGCCCACAGGCAACAAAATGTGTGAACGAACGTTCAATCCGCAGCTACTCTAATTCACAATGCATCTTGACGAAACGTACGATAGTGAAGGATGGATATAAGAACTGGACACAGCAGTTCACATGAATAAGGCAACGTTGTCCAAACAATCTGTCTATATCCGGCCCGTGCTCGCGCCCACAAATAAGATCGATTCACCGAAGGCTGATATAAAATAACAGCTGTTTCCTTTGACACCTCGTCAGGTCGACTTCTGACCCACTCTCCCATTGACCCACGCCGCGACACCTGACATCGCCGATGACGTCACTACTAAGGTCTCACAGGACCCTATTTCGATTCTGAAATGGCAGAGGAACTGACACTGACAGAGAAGATGGGCGACGAGTTTCAAAATTCATGGCATTATACACCCGTTGTAACGATGGTTGAAGTTTATGCGGCCAATTTCCAGAAACAACTTCTAGTAGCATCTTTGTTCTCTACAGAAAACAAGACCTAATATAAACTGGCTGGTGTTACACGTTCCCACGTCCGCAGAAAATATCCGGTCAGGTAGCCGAGGCTACAGGGGATCTCTTGCAGTTAAGAGTGGAATGGGCCTATGAAGCCTAGAAGCTGAAAAATATGTCCTGTCCACCGGAGCAGTGTGTTCCATCATCACGGAATGGTTTTCTGTGATGGCTACTGCAAATATTATCCTGCCTTTGCTGTAATCAGAGAGGCATTTCTGCGCATCGAACTGCCCAACCCCAGAATTTCCTTTGATGGTAGCACGCAGACCACCTACTCTTACGACGAGAACTCCCGAGCGTAAGGTTGTTTGAAGACACTTACCCTTGTCACCATCGCCTACTTGGACGTTTTTCCGGCAAACCAAGTTTTTCAGTGCATCCCTTTTGAGCCACTTCGAAAATAGGCTAAATTTTGAACCTACTGTTTCCCCTGTAGACGTCTTCAACCGCGGTTCCCTTATGCCTGAATGAAGAGCATTAGTCGGAGATAAATAAACAGAAGACGGTGGAAGTTTTTAGTCCCAGCATGCGTTCAACAACATCTTCCTCTGTTATTCACACTTTCTGGATTACGCCTGGTCTGAGTTGTGACTGGGCCATGACCAGAACCATTCATACTGCCCTTTTGTCGCCTCGTGTCGCGGGAATAATCCTTTTCGACTCAGACCATCGTGATCAGAAGAGTACGTGTTTGGAACGTGTGACAGAGTGTGAACCTCTTTGTCCTCAGCTGATCTAACTACGGCCTGACCATCAGAAAGGAGAAAATGATGGCCTGAACCAACTGGAGTCAAATACGGACTACGCCAAACCCCGTATCAGTGTCGGTGAAGCCCAACTCACAGCAGCGAACAAATTCGCGTACTTTGGGAGTAAAATCACAAGAAACATTAAGATAGACGACAAAATTGCAAACAGGATACCTCGGTCGGCTAAAGCAGCACTCACTCAATACAAAATTCCGGATATACAGGACCGTTGTACTGAAAACGCTCCTCACGGGGCGGTCACGTGAACCCCTTATGTAGACCAAGCAAGAGGATTCAGCCATTCTCATCTCAGTTGTCTCCGAAGAATTCTGAAGTGTGAGATGCCAGGAAAGGATCCCAGACGCTGAGATCCAGAAAAGAACCTGCGTCCTCGGTATCCACGCGGTTAAACTGTGCTGGAGGAACAATGAACGTCTGTTCGAGCAACTATTCTGCGGCGACGTAACTGCGGGTGGTCGTGGACAAGGCGAACTAAAGCTTCACAAAAAGGACACATTGAAGACCTCCGTCAAGCACCTACAAAGCAACCCAGAGATCTGGGTTTTTCTCGCTCAAGACGACAAGGCACGACTCGCTGCCGTAGATACTACAGCAGTCATCTTCGCAGCCAACTGACTAGCCGCAGCCAAGGCAGAGAAATAGACCTGCATTACTTAAGTGCTATGGACCAACGATACCAGCACTCAACCCCCGTCAACGTATCCATTCTACCAACGGATGCTCCGGACACGGGTCGGCCTCGATGGATATTTGCGGACCCAGCGTAATGTAAACACGATTAACTCATCTCGTGTCCCAACGCACTGCCACTACTGACACAACTAGCAACAGCAATGAGGACACTTCTACCGAACTGCAAAGCATTACCAATATTGACATCATCACCAAAAGTTGGAATTAATCCGAACCTCTCCCAACTGTGATCACATTTTCTCATTACGCATTGACCTGGTCAGTCACCTCATACAGAGACTAACAAACCAGTACTGCATTAACCCGTTACACGCGCCTCATCTGTTTACGATGTCTCAGGGAATTCAGACACCGCGTGGGCCTAATTGGTCTCATGCGTATCCATGACAGACGGATTCGTCGCGATGTCACCACGACAAATCTACATCCTACGCTTGAAAACTTCTCTGTTACTACCACCACCACTACCGCCGCCGCCACCACCACACCACTAAATCACGTACCACAATCCCATCCCATTCTCACTGCCATCGTACCGTTGCACGACGCATCTGCCTGGTCGAGTACTTGCGAATCCATCACACCAGAGCAAGAAACCGCAATATGCACTCGGCGCACGCACCTCATGTGCTCACAAGGCCTAAGGACATTCGGTCATCATATGCGCTTCCACGCAAATCGTCAACGAAACACCTACCTTACCTGCCCCGCATATATATGGACGAACTCCACACCATGCATCACATCCCGCAAGCGATCACACCACTTTCCGGCAGCAAGCATGTGATCCGATTCGCTGTTGCCGTTACGGTCAATGCTGCGTCAACTGTCAAAACATGCACATTTCACGTAACTGAGATGCGTGTTCTTTGATGGGGTCATGTGTGGCATAAGTAAACGAACTGTCTATCTTCATCGGCCACTGCACTCGATCCAACCACCAGGTGGTTGACAGGCTCGACAGACAACTGGTTCATGGAAGAGGGAAGGGCGAGTCAGGCGGACACTGAGAAATCTATTCCCTTGACAAACCAGCGCCACTGTCACTATAACAGATCGAACGCGCTTGTATTTATCCCTAAGAGCTCAGAGTTTTGATTTGGAAGGTTGCCTACTGACGGGATAGCTCGGTCCCTAGTGTGGATATTTGGGATGGGTATCTCAAGAACTGGGGGCCAGGCTCAATGGTTCCTTTCTAATGTAGTCTGTGTGACACTCTTACGCACGTGAGATCCAAGCCGTGCTTGTTTCGGTGGAACCGGTGGGCTGTACGTGAACGGCCTGTTTACCTTTGTCAGTCACAGGTCCCGACCGCCTTGACGTTGTCTTGTTATTTGAGCTTGGTGGGCAAGGGAAGAGAGAGTGTGGTAGATGCTGAGAAAGTCCGTCTCACTATAAACCAGTTTACAAGTAAGTCGCTGATGCTGCGCCTGCTACGTAGGTCACACAACGGACGTCAACACTTGCGATGGTCAAGCTGTTATTCATGTGCTCAAGTCAGGAAACCTCACTTCGAACAGGCAGGCGACGCTTCCACTTAATTGGACTGAGTTACATGGTTAGTTCTTGTGTTCCCAGTGAAGGGCAACACTGATATTGCAGACAGGCGTACTTACTCCTCGCCTGCCTCTAGACAGATTGGTCAGGTCCATTGGCGAAAGTCTGAACAGATCGGTTCCGATGGATCCGATGAATCCCTTTTGAAGATGGCACAGTTACCAACTTTCAAGTGTCATCATATAGCAGCACCGACACCAGTATCCGTCGCAAATTACCGTCAGTGCATCAAACCTGAACTTTTGTCCTCTAGTTAGTGACGGTTTATTCGCCAGACACATTTGCTTCTTCATTCTCGAATACAGCCGTTTCAGGAAACCATACCACCGTCGCCACATAATCTTCCCTGCCTCTCGTAGCTTCGTCGATCCGAGCAGACGTAAGAGAAGTGAGACCTTTCCGTTGCCTAAAAGAAGCACAATTGGAGCAGCAGCCAGTCGGAGCGAGACAAAACTATCAATAACAACTCATAACTTCAGAACTGCTTCCCTCCCTACGACCGCTTCCTCAGTGTCGTGGAAGTCCTTCAGAATCCTGGACTTTGCTAACCTGTGGTGTGTCTGGCCGAATTAGTTAGCCCTTCTGGTACTTTCCACTCTTTCCCTTCTTACTTTACTGGAACTCGAGGTCCCTTGTAAAAGTGCATTGTACGTTCTGCACACAAAACTACATGATTCCCCTCCCCCCCACCCATGTTTCATCTGCTCGAATGAATTCGTTGGCGCACAGTGCCTAGGTTAAGAACACCTGCAAATCTGGCCTTTTCTATACAGCGTACTACGTTTTCTGAAGGGAAATTGGCGACATATGCGTATTCTCGATCGGAGAGGGGAAAGGGTAAGGTTAATTTATTCTCGTACCCAGACAGGTGGGAAAACCTTTTCCCATCAATTGTGACATGGGCGAGTTGAGGGATTCTTATCTAGAGTTGCGAAAATTCCCATAGCAGTAGTCAGAAGACGAGGTGGCGAGCATACGTAGCTTTTGATAAATTTTCGTCCGGCCAGTACAATTATATGGCAAGGGAGTAGAAGTAAAAACACGTCAGTGATAAGATAAATCGATTTAAGTTCGCCTTAAAACAAGAAGGTAAATTATACGGTAAAGTCGAACGCAAAATCACGCCAGGGGAGGAGACTTGACAGTTCGACCGTCGCGTCTGAAGATGTACACAGAGCAAGATGAAGCAGGCACGGTGACTTGCGCGTCAGTTTACAGTGAGTGTAGACGTTGCAGCGACCGCACCTTCACCTCACACATCGGTCCAGTTGGTCACTTACGCATCCATCGCGGAGAGAATGGCGAACCAGTGAATGGAGCACCAGCCTACACTCGCTGCATTTGCCTCCCCTTTCCACATTGCAATCGCACATTCATGCACCACACAGGCCTATTAGGCTACATGCGCGTCCACGTAAACCTGCAGTGGGCAACCACCGACTAAACCACGCCATCACATCCTCCCTCACGAGCATCTCAGCGCACATCAACATCACCCACCACAAGCACCCAAATGCCATCTCCTGCGCAAGTGGGAAGTGTGCGTCTGGACTCCGTCTGCATGCCGGCTCCTCGGCTACGTATGTGACTCGAGTCTGAGGCTATCACGGTGCGTCAAACACCGTGACTTGAAAGGCTGCTGACAGATGCCCCAATTCAATCCATGCAGTCCGGTCAGTTGTGTTTGTGTGGAGTTGCGGACTGGTGGTCTGAGAGCCAGGTTGTACTGGCTGCCTCTTAATGTGGCCTTTATGGCACCCCCACTCCTTGGGATCCGAGCCGGATGTAGCGGCACGCCTAGATTCTGCTTCGGCCGTGCCAGCTTCCATTCTCCCTGCTGTTGTTGGTTATAATCCTGGTCATTTGGTGTATTGAGCAGGGGATGTGGAGTGGGGTGCCAAGGTGCAGACTCTACCGTGCGACCCACCTGCGTTCTTCCCTCCCCCGGTCTTTTTTACTCTTCCGTGACACCGGGTCCAAATGAGGGAGGAGGAGAGAGTGCGGTGGATGCTGCGCAAGTCTGCTATCGTTATAAACTAATTCACGCGGAAGGCGTCAGGTGATGAGACCAAAAGACCCACTGTCATGGCAAGAAACAGCTGGAGTCGTTTACCGGATCTGCTGCAGTTGCGGAGAAAGCAACTACGTCGGAGAAACTGGAAGGCAGCTCCGAACGCGAATTGCCTCACACGCGACAGCGGTACGGATAAATGACGCCAACTCTCAGGTCGCGGCTTATTCGACGAGACCCCATCACACATTTAAGTTCGATGAGGCCGAAATTCTCGCGAAAGGGGACAATCGCGTGAGCCGCGAGTTGCTTGAGTCATGGTTCCCCGAACCTCAGTTTATCAACAAGTGCAATGACATCCCACTCCATATTCCGTGCTGAGGCATAGTCTGGCCAGAATAATTAACCACTCGGGAAGCACGCAGGCCGGTGAGCCAGATGGCCGAGCGATCATCACGCCAGCATCCAACACGGGTGATGATATTTCGGCAATGAACAACTTGCATGCCGACCATCAAGCAATTAGAGCACCAGCGGACAACAATCCTTGATGAAGGGGAGCGCGGTTAATTGCTATAGGTATGCGGTAGCATAGCGACTGCATCCTATAAATACTGCAACTTCCTGTGCACAAGTCACCCTTTTCTGCCACTGTCTCTGATGATGGATTCAAGTGAGGATCCGAAACGTCAGGCGAATAAAGCCCTTGCTCCAGCGATCGCTGCTCCTTCTGATCACACGGAAGTTACCGTCCCTGCTTCACCTTGCTGCGCAGCACACGGTGGGCATCTTCGACAACGACGCTCGGGCAGCTGGGGCGGATGCAGCGATTGTTGGTTGGTGCTCCAGGCACTGGTTTGCCAGCTGGTGTGCAATGGATTCGTAAGTGACCGACCAGAACGATGTGTGAGGTGAATGTGCAATCGTAATATGGCCAAGCATGAACCGAGTCAACATATTCGGGCTTGGAGGTGTCGGTGATATTCGGATTTGATTGGACTTCGGACGTCCTCTCATCGGTAAGGGGAATGCCTGAAGACGTGGTGGTGGTGTTAGTGCTGGCCGCTGCGGTCGATGCAGGGGTTGGGGAAGGGCGGATGGTGGCGGCGGGACAGCGACAGTCTGACAAGGATGGCGGTCAGTGCGGGGTTTGCGACAGAAGCGAGAGTGAGAGAAGAGGTAGACGTTGTCGTTTTGATGGCACGTTGGGTTTAAAGGTGTCCAACGAGACCGATTCTTGCGCAGAATCCGCGTTTGCAGTTCGAGCATGTTCGAAGCGGCGGATGGTTGGCACTGTCGTTAATTCTGACAAACTAGTAAGATTGGTTCTTTTGCCGTTTTTATCTTCCACAGCCCTTCAGTCTCTGCTGCATTCAGCCACTTCGTGTATAATTTATCCAACCTAAACAGTTATTGACTAAACCTACTATACAGAGTGAACGGCTTCTTGCGAGGACGTTTGTTGTAGAAGATTCTCTGACACTTATGATCTGTTGGTGAATGGCGTATACTCTGTGCCTTCCTCTAGTGCTTCGATCGGATAATTTTGCTTTTATACAACAGTCTTCTCCAAGCGCAGTGCACAAGTAGTATAAAACAACCAAACACTGCCGTAAACGGTAGGCTGTTGGGTTAGATATTTACACCGCCCTCCTTTCCTACGCCCTGATTTTATGGTTTGTTGAGATAAAACAATATGTCTTTTAAATTCGGGGAGGTAGTGATTGTTCCATTTAACTATTTTTTAAACTTTATCAGGCCACAAAGACAAGGAAGGATGTTCGCAGTGAGCTTGGCAGAAAAACATGATTACTTACGGGCTTCAGTTTACTTTGTATGGAACTAAGTGGTGTTTGTAATAAAGCTGGTAAGTCGACAAGACTGAGAACTCAAGATAAGTGCGGAAAATACACGTACATGTAAGTTATATGCGACAAAGTGTCAGGAACATTTAACGTTCCTCCAGAAGCTCGCATTTTCCGGCGATTCCGGTAGTCAAAGCTTAGATATAGGGCGCAGCTGTAGCTGACTCTTTTCAAGTGATCTCTAATAGCTGTGATTTACGGAATGGATGTTTCCCATAAGAGAATTCAGTATGTAGGGTGTTTCGAAAGAAGGGCCAGCCAAAAGTAGTATCTGGACTCGCTGAAACGGTTAGCGATACTAACGCAAAAGTACATGCTCATTTCAGTGTTCGGCTCCACCCACTTTTAGGTGGAGTCTGACAACGTTAATACCAGCGGCTCGCTAAAGTAAGCTCTGTTCGTGCAGTGCAAACGACGGCAAAGCTGACTTTAAATAAGTTAATGGGCCAGTGCGCGAATATCGCACCACGACTGAAGTGCTGCGATAATCTTCGCTCTCTAGTAACCTTGTGGGAATGACCTTCACACAGAAACAACTCAAATAAATATTACTGGCACCAGTATCGGTGTTCAGCTTATCTTTCGTTCAAATTGGTAATCCTAGTGGGAAAGAGGGTGATGCGGGATAAATGTTAGAATTAACGCGGGCTGACGGCAGACTGTGTACCAGGGGACAGTTTTTTCAACTAGGTAACAAGTTTCCTGTAGTCTGTTTGAGCTCCAAAGTCTTCAACAGCACCGGTGCTGCTAAAAAGCTCTTAGAAACTGAGTTGGCTCTGGAAACTAACTGAACAGTCCGGTTTGAAGAAAACCAGCATGCCCGAAATCAGCTATTGAGGGCCTCAAATGTCATCCCCGTAACACGCAGATCCGGTCGATATCCATAAGTACCATGTTTGAGAGTCAAATATCAGACAGAATACTTTCTGGAGCTGGTTATACATTAGTTTCTGTTCAACAACTTCGACAGACACCATGTTTTGCACATAAATGTCAATCTTTTAGCATCCATGAGGTCAAAATATTCAGAATAAATATCAAAAATCACAAAAATGTAATCAGCAGACTCACAGTTTGAGCACTGATGGTTTTTACCGCCGCTCCGATGCCCATGGAAGCAGTCAGCTGAATAATCCACCGCAGACATACCGCATTGTAGACCGAAATTTGACACGATTTGCGGGGGGTCCAGTTTTTTTCCTCATCTGAAAGCATGGGAATCCCTTTTTTAAGCACTGCTGGAGGGATTTGCCGCAAAAAATACGAGTCGCTCAACACGAGGAACAAAAAGTCACGCTGGTTCCCTGCCGCCCGACACCCGCCTCCAGTCAACGAATGCGTATTCCTTGTTGCCTTCCACCAGTTGGTTGAAGAGTCGACTGTAATCAGTAGCAACCCTATGCATTATTCCTGCCCTAAAAAGTCAACGAGATATTTGCGAAATTGTACGAACTCTTAAAACGGATTCTTACAATTCGCGCACTTCTCTATTTGTCACCGCACTAAGTAAAACCCTCATTTCTACTTCCGCCGTTAGAGGTTGTTCTTTGCTTTTGACATTATTACAACCAGGTGGCGTGAAGAATGTCGCGAATTCTGGAAATGAGACAGATTTTTAGACGACGTTTCGCGGTGATTGGTTAAATTCGCCTGCTACCACAATGCAAATAAACGCAAAAGGTATTATATTTGTCCTTAGACGGTAGTGAATAAAGGACAGGAAAAATAGGTCGATAGTCCCAAGTATAGTAGGCCTGAAGTCTTCCTAAGCCCTTACCACGTATAGGAGCCTTTACACCCTGCTAAGATCACCGATTTTAATCGGAACAAATTCTTATCAGTTACATTACTGTCTCCGCTGAAGATACTACCTTCCATTATCTGTGCCATCTAATTTAGCCCTCTTTTATTTGGTTTCAGCGAGCGCCCTCTGGATTCCTACAATCTGAGTGGAATGACAGGAAAGAAGCATATTAAGCTATCCACGCAATCAGAGTGCATTTAATTAGAGAAGTGTTTAAGTCGCCAAGTGTTTGAATAGCCGTTGGACACTACGTCAAAGGTATTACAGCCCGCTCGCCGCCTGCAAGAATCAATTAATATTTCATTTTTGTTTTTCGCAAATTTAGAGGATTACCATTCGGACAACTGTTTTGCTGCACTTTTAAGGCAACTGGGTAGACGTCTGACGGTTGTGAATCTGACTCTCGTGCATTTAACATAAGTCCTCATTAATGTTTATTGCAGCTTATATTAGAACGACGTATCGCGTCAGAGAGTACTCAGATCTTTCGAAGGCTTTGCAAAGTGAGTCCCAAATATGGAAAACCCAGCAATTCATGCAGCCAGTGTGAATGGATGCAGTACAGCATTCACGGTGTGACCGGTGAGAACTCGCCATGTTTGTGGCTCGCAGGCGGCTCGCAACAAGCGCTTTCGGTCTGAAGCTGCCCAAATATACCGCAGTCTTCGTTAGTGGTATGGGTTTGCTTTAAAAATTACATATCGTGCTGAAATTTTACTCTAAACGAGGAGATAAATGGTCGGTTGGTAAGAAAGGGGAACCTTTGCGTTTGCGAAAAACAGTCCTAACCATTTCGAATGCCCGCAGCTTTCTATTTATTTTTGAGTCTTCGGTAAGGATCGGGTGAAGGAGCCCAAAGCATCTGTGGCATACAAGGAATACCTACTATACTTATTTAAGTGGGTTTTAATCCGACACGATTATTTCGGTTTGGTGTTTCGGTTATATCGCAGTTGGTAGCCAAAAATGAGGAAATGGATGGCGAACTTAACCCTAACCCTAACCTTAAACCTAACCCTAACCTCAACCTTAAACGTTAACAACTCCCCGCCCCCCGCTAACCGGTAATACAGGGTTTCACTACCAACTGCGATCTAGCCCACTTAGACATAGTCCTTAGACATAGCCGTAACTGAAAAACCTAACCGTAATACTGAAACCTAATCACACGCTCAAACCCTAACCGTAACCCGGAAACCTACGCCTAAATGCATAACCCTAATCTGAAAATCGAAAACCATTAACCGGTACCCTAATCCTAACCTCAAACGTAAAACGGAAGCCAAATGGGTCAGGTGTGATTATGGAACCCCACTAAATAGCTCCAGTAAACAACCCCCCCAGCCACCAGTAATACAGGACCTGGCTACCAACTGCGATCTAGCCGGTATTTCATCGTATAAAGTTAGGTCGCCTGCTGTAGACGGTCTGGTGCATTATCTACAATGACCACAGCTCAGAGATTTGAGAAGCGACCGTTGTAGACACTTAATGTTTATTTGTTTAATTGTCTCACTTGATTTCGGTTGCTATATGTCAATGCATTAAAACTTTTCCGCCCGAAAAACGAATTAGCCAATTATCTATACTTATTTTGCCATTCTTCTACGCATACATAGGCCACGGTCGTAAAATCCCAATTACCGCCTTGTCCGTAAGACAGGCACCTTTGGCTGGTCGTGTTTTTGGGGTCCTTCACCCGATCACTGACGAGTCTTCTTCATAATTACGGACCTTGGCCAACAGTTTGGTGAAAGCAAACAAAAAGTCATATTTCACGCAAACTGCGTTTATTGAGTCAAGAATGCACATGGACGCAAGGGGCAGCGACTGACAGAGCCAAGCAACCCCTACACGCGTGCCACAAGTCACCTGATTGGCACCCACGATTTACCCACACAGATGGGAATGCAAAGGTCACAGTGGGAGAGAACCATTGCAGCTTTACCCCCCGGCTCCGAGAAGACTGAGTTACACCGTCAGTTGGCAACCCTCCAACGCCCGACATCCGGCAGGCCGTGGCAGGTTCAAGCGCGTCGAAATTATTGTGATGAGAAGTGTGCCGATTGGCCGTAACGATGGAACCTCCAGTATCGGCCTTCCTCGCTCCTCCTTCTCATAAGAACTATTCGAATATTTGAGGCTGTCAGTCAACTAGTGCTAGGATTGGGCACGGCGGCTGACAGACTGAACGGCCCGTCTACGTCTGCCACACACAACCTGATCCTCACTACGTGCAGCGGATTACGTCAAAGAGCATGTTTCTCAGTCATGTGCGATTTGAATGTTCTGACATGCGGCATTTCGTACGCCATACCGGTGCAGGCAGTGTGGATCCTATGCTTGCTGCAGTAGGGGTGAGCAGTATTAACGGAGCGGTGTCGTGTATGCTGGCGTTGTCGAGTGGGTTTATGTGTACTTGGAAACAGAGCAAGATGTTTTTATGAGTTCTGTTGTCTAATCGGAGGTTAATATTGATGCGTGAAACACTTAATAGATACATCCGATGACCGAATGACCTGCGACAATGGGGACAGGTGGATGTGTATGACGAATGTATATTAGGGTACCGGGAGTCGGTTCATCAATAGCTGTGCGGTGGATTTAAAACTGACCGACCAGACCGATGCATGATTCGAAGGGGCGATTGCAGTAGTGACAGGCTAAATGAATCCATATTGCCGGTTCGATGAGGGATGTTAGTGATGGTAAGCAGGCTGACAGGAGTGTCCTCAACGGTGATATTGGTGGTGGTGGTGGTGGTGGTGGTGGTGGTGGCGGCGGCGGCGGCGGCGGCGGCGGCGGCGGCGGCGGTAATAACAGTAGTAGTATTTCTTTTGTGAGATGATAAGAGAATTGGTTCTGCTGAAATTGCACTGGATTCGGAAATATGCAACGAGGCCACTCCGTGCCCGGAATATCCTTTGATAGCGTGGACATGATGCTAGGAAATGAGTGCTTGCGTCGTTGTTTCGTGACACCTGATACTGTTTTAGCCTTGTCAGCAACTATTAAGTTGGCTGTGAAGATATTTCCCGATTTTTTATATTAGTGCGCTAGACCTACTAATTTTCGAAGTAAGCTCTCCCAGCTGTCATGATTAATATAAAAGGGCCTAACTGAGATCATATAGGTGTCTTTTTATTTACGATTGTATCCGCCCTGTTTTCGAGCACTCGCAGTGATTTTGCCATAGAAGAGTCGCTCGGGTCGGCGCTCGTCAGCTATCCTCACAATTTAACCCTGCTACAACAGCTGCATCTACCTCAGCATGGTGTGGACACTGAGGGTTCCGGTTCATTCCATTATCTAAATGTCAGACACCCTTTATAGCACTTAGCTTTCAGTGTTCTACGAAGGCTTCTGAGGTGAAAGGGACTGAGTTTTCTTGATTTTATTTCGTTCACTCCTATCTCCGCCCTGCATAGGAGCATACTCGGGACAATAACCATGTACATTGTCACTTCTGTGTTGATGAGGATGTCGGGACTCTTCGAGGCGGAGTGTTGTTGGCGGCCGATGACCTGGCCGACTTTAGAGGTCAGACTTACAGTCTCATCGTCGATCTTGATGTTGCTTGGAAATGCACACTCCAAGGTACTCAACTTTGTCCCCTGATGTAAGACGGGTTCCATCTCCTTTGATTCTGGCGCCGGTTGCACCACAACCACCGTCCTCTCCGTACCGATCGTTAGTTCAAAGTTAGGGTAGCCATAGCCGCAGAGATCCGCAGTGCATTGCGTGTCTTATTCCGTTGTGTTGTTTTACGCGCAGTCGTCCGCGAATAAGGGATGATGGGCGCTGTCCTTGTAGATTCTTGAAGATTCCCACATGCATCGAATGTTGGATAATTGTCCGTCAGTTCGGTAGTCGATGTTGATTCCTGGCTTATCCTCGCAGTAGACATCCATCAGCATAGCGAAGGTCGTGAGGCTAAGTAAGACGGAGCGAGTACGCAGCCCTCCTCCACCTCACAGGGGATGCTTCCAAGACTAGCCGACTGTGCGTGACACGCTGTCGCTCCGTCTTTTAGTTATCTTGTCATTTGCCTAAATTGCTCCGAGTATTCAAGGTTCGACATGATTACCCGCAGTTCATCGCGGTTTATCTTGTCGATGGAGTTCTTCAGGCCCATTAAGCTGGTTCAGCGGCTGGTCCGCATTCCCCGACTTTTTGTTTGCAGATCATGTCCGTAGCTCCATGATGTTGTCGAAAGGCATATTGTATACCTACGCGGACATGGAAATCGCCTGGAGCAATCACTTTTCCCGCATTCGGCAGTGTCTAGGGGTGCGTGCGGATCTTATTATTATTTGTTCTTCGCGTTATCGGAACTGGTTGGTGCGGGTACGTAGGTACTCCCGAGGACAACAAATTTGTTCCCGCGGATTATCAGTCGTATAGCCATGAGACAATGTTGATACCCCTCCCGCGGTGTCCTTCTTGATGGCAAAAACGACTTCGGTCTCTCCTCGCTCAGCCTTTCGACGTCCACTGCATAATGTGCATTTGGCCTCCACCTCGTCCAGTTGTTCCTGTTTAGAGGAGCGGGTTTCGTTAAGAGTCACGATGTACATTTTGCAGCGGGCCATTTTGCAGGCTACCAAATCCGTCCCTCTTTTTGGTCGGTTGACTATTAGGTTGTCTAAAACAGAATGGACCGTGCAGGTTGCCGGAGTCGGCAGTGTCAACGGACGACTGTGAAGTAGTAAATAAGGAGAACGGTGGTTGCTGCTTTTCGGTCCATTATTTTAAACGCGCATTTTACATCCACAAGCTGGTGGCGTGATTATTCAGCACCTGTGTAGAACACATTTTCTAGCACCTACTCTACAAGGATCTAAACAGAGATTCCTCAAAATTTCTGTTGAGTCATGTCGAACGGCTGCCAAACTTCATTGTGGGCCGCGCCTTCGTTACGGCTGGAAGGCGATCGGATGTGGCCCGGACCACTTACGGGACTGCACGTCGGTCTCGCTGTAGGACTTTTTTGGAGACGGTGGGGGAGGGAGATGAGAAAAAGTGGAGGGACTACCTAGTGCAGGTGCAAACCTGCCGGATACCCTCATTTCCTTTAGTACGCCGGTCAAACCGTTTAGCAAGGTGTGGTCGCCCTGTGGAGCAGAGTTTCCTGAAGCCAGGGGCAAGGGCTGAGTGCTAGGACGAGGAGGATAGAAGCACATCCGACATACCCATTACGTTTGATGGAGACCGTCGGTGCACTGCTTACAGGATAAACTGTGGTCGTGCCTGTTCTGACCAACCTAAATGGTGTTGCTTGTGGTAACCCTTTGTGATGTATCTGCATAACAGTGCCTTCGACAGGATATTGTCGTGAAACGGCCATTCAATCGCATCGACGAACGGGAGCGACCGTACGGCCGCCCCCTACTGCCTATAGCATAAGTAAGTAACATCGATCATGAAAACCTACTGATGCATGCTGAATAGTGTCCGTGAACAGTCGTCCATGATGCTGCTCAGGTTGCAGATAATATTTCCATTCCAGCCCACCATAGTAAGCAACATAATTCTCTAAGTTATGAAATAAACATATCAGAGAATTCATAGGTATTTTGGCAGATTTTCGGTCAACATTCAAAATCTGCCAAAATATTTATGAATTACGTGAGCCTGGTAGTCATCTGGTGGATTCTAGGTGAATTACTTAGGAAATCCTGCTTGGGCAGTCAACTTACTGTATCAGATTTGGTGGATTCCAGGCGTTGCAGTAGGTTGGACGGGTAAACTTGACCCAAATATGATTAAACTGGAGTCGTCCGGCGGGGCCTCGTAGCTCAAGTGGTTAGAGCGTTGGCTGTACTAAAGCCTTCTACTTTCTGCGTGGGTTCGAATCCCACCGAGGCGCCGAGCTTTTCACAGTTGGGTCAATATGAATATCAGGGAATGTAGAAAAATTTGCTATCACTGTCTTCGGTAAAGGTTTGTGTTTAGAGCGAGCAAAGCTTGTCAGTGAAATAAGAACTTCCGCAGTTAATACCTGACAGCATTCTTTCGGCAATTTAAGGTGAGTTGGAATGTTGGGCCATAAACAGCATGAAGTGTAAGCTGGAGTTTTTACGCTAATGTGGTTCGATTCTGGCAATGCATTCTTTCATGGAAAAAGGAGGTCGCTGTTTGTGGCACTGACTACTGTGGCTAAATATATAACTATGAGGAATGGGGAAGAAATAACGTGTATGCTTTAAGCCATTTTGGATTAAAACGCACCTTCTGCTTTGGATTATTACGCCATGCATCCAGTCTCCAAACCCGTTTGCTATCCAAAAGCCTGGTTTAAATGCACGAGATGAGTCTCAAGTTCTACGGTTTTCAGAACCGTTGTAATTGTCCTTTTGGTAATGCATTCTGCAGCCGGCTGTCCAGTACCTCGAGTACCACAGCTGCCGTCCGCGACAGATAGGTCGGGACGACTTCGTTATCAAACCTAAAACAGGTAGTAATGGCGAAAGTTGACCTACCGCTGTGACTATCTCTCCAAATGTTCGGAGAATCGTTTCTGTGCTGCACCCATCCTGCGACAACTGTCGCTCAATCTCAGGAAGGAAATTAACCGTTCTGGTATCGGTCAGACAGTCATCATTGCAATTATATGGCGCGTTTCCTGATCTTTCATAACGGGGCATGGTCACTCAGATCACAATCAACATCAAAATGGTAATACTGCTCTGCTTCTGTTTGTGGCAAGTTTCTGGAAATTGCTCTACAAACAGCCGTCCCACCAGCGTTTGCCCCCATGTCGTACATTCACACTAAGTCTTCACCATCCTGAATACACATTTCCGGTGGTTCGTTTTGTGCATTTGTAGATAATCTTGCTGTGAGTCAAAAGATGATTGAGCAAGACCAATCTGGCATCTTAATATCGGGCAACTCAGTGGACAATTTTGGGAGGTTTAATCTATGGTCGACCGATTCGTCTCCATGACGGCCTCCCAATCTCGTAATATGTCACTGGCATTCACTATACTTCAAATCTATACGCCTGTGCAGGCGGATATTTGTATCTTACTGGTATTTTGTCAGATCCTTAACGTAGTTGTGGCGTCCGTTTTATCATTTTTGTCTAATAGCTCCGTATTACAGGGGGCTTGCCGTTTTAGGAGACGGCGGTTATTTCGGAAGTACACTATGCGCGGCAGACTGAGAACCATCGGTCGCCTTTCTAAACCTCACCCTTTATACCCCTAAACTGCAGTCCTGTTTGGTGCGCGACATTCTTGTTTGGTGTTGATAGACTCTCCGGGGCTACACACAGCAGAAAAATTAATAAAGCATGATGTCATCTCAAGAATTCTTTCTCCAATCAGTAAAAATTCCCTCGTTAAGAGAAGGATAGGGCGATTGTCCCATACAAAAGGTCTTACCACGCCAAAAGCCTGAATAACACCGTAGATTCCAGTTTTAATTTCATTCTCGGTTGTGATTATTTCAAACTTGTAATTTTGGGTGAGCAAATATGTCTACAGAGTCGAGGAGATGACTACTGGCAGTGTCTGCAAATTCCTTATGCTGCGTAACTGGAGATAACATGCTTTGCTTCTATCCATTTAAAGTCCATTCATCAGTATTTGCCTCACATTCACGTCGAAAATAAAGGTTTGCAGCCACGGTTGGCGGGTTTCTTCTAGCCTCGACTGCCTTCTAATCCAACATTTACAAAATCAGAAAATGCAGTTGACGAACGTCTCTCGACATTGAATGACGTGCTTGCATTTTCTCCAATTCTTTGTGCAGTGTCCTAGAGTCTGTTTGCAGGGTAATGAAGTACCTAAACTCACTTGAACCGACCTCCAAGAACGTGCGTCAGGAGTTAATATGCGTCTTATGGAAGAGGGAGATTTGCCATTACCCATTTGGGCTACTTTAGTAAAACACCTGTCCATACAAAGGTTTTACTCATCATACGTCAATGACCTTTGACGATAGCGCCTGTCCGGTGGCTTTGAAATCCTGTTTTTCGGTCTCCTGGGCTAATTTTCGCAACCTTCCCGCTATGCATCCATACACGTTTTTTCCCCTGAAAAGTTTGCCTTCCGTTTCGGTTAGGTTCCGTCTAAGCTAGTCACAGAAGGTAATTACATATTTGTGAGTGCGCTGCGTTTGCACGAATTAGGCTAACTCCTCTACCCGCTCCTTCACGCTGCTTTTCCGAATTTTCTTACCCCTGGTGTTGATGCCGATGGCGTTGCTGTCGACGCGGATGATTGCAGTGACTTTTGCTACTCTCTCTCTCACACACAAACGCCACCTCACAGACGCAGGATATTCTCTTCGTCTCGTGCAGTCTCTGGTAGACCTCCGTCTTTTGGTGGTGTGTCAGGCTTGTGGAAGCTACAGAAAAGGCTGATAAGACTCCAGCGGAGGGAGGGGGAGAGGTGGGGGAAATGACAGAGAGACGAATTTGAGGATGCACGCCCCCTGTCGTGACAGAGCAGAGGGGCGGCGAGAATCGTGCATGCAATGGACGAGGGAGGGCAATTCAAATTTTGCCGTCAGAGGAAATGCGCAAGCAGGTGGTCGCAGGCGCGCACAAACGGACAGGGTGACACGTGCAAGACACGGGATCGAGTCAGGGACGCTCTGCGTTGCTAGGACATGGGGGTGGGCGAGCCTTGTGTGGGCGATGGAGAGGGAGGTGGGGGGGGGGGACTCGAAAAGTGGAGGGCAAGAGGACGAATTCACTCAACCGTTGATGTTGCGGCTGCAGCAAACAGACTTGAATAATAGCGAAATGTCGTGTTGTGGTCTGTTTACCTACAGCGCCCAGTGCTTCCTGTGGTCCCCACGCCTCGCCGCACAAGCAAATTTAACATTGACAGTCAGTTACAAGAAGAGCAAAAACACCGATCCCCGATGGCCTAATTAGCTGTTACTGCTGGCTTCTTTGACATTAAGACCACCGCCACCACCTCTACCGCCGCCGCCACCACCAACGACTTTGTGAGGCAACTGACAGTGAAAATCAGCAACCACTGCGGTGGTCTTCATTTTCAATGTCTTCCCTTTTGTGTGTTCAGAGGGATTATGGCATGCAGTAAATTGCGTAATTTATCCTGCCTAAAATGCTGCCACCGCAGTGATTTTGTTAAGTACTCGCGCGCGATTTCCATTCCGACTAAAAAGATGGACGGGAGGTGCAGCATTTAGGATGAAATGAAATTACCTGCATAAACGAGTAATGTAAGCAAATCAAAGCCGTTCGTGCCAAGGAGCCGTCTCTATCGAGCAGTATACTTATTTTTGATGCAAACTAGACCACACAGATCTGCTCGACGAGGAAGAAGCAGAAGCGGACGGGGACGGAAGATAAAGAGGGGTACAGGATAATATCTCGAAATGCCTAACATCGTCCAACGCTATGCTGAATTCCCAACATGCCCGGTTGGCCAAATCAACTCCGTACTTCCTCCGTCGGAGCACCGGAGAAATGGACCCTCTCAGTGTCATCCAATCTCAATAAAAGAGGTGTTCATATGGAGATTTTCGTGTGGCACCTAGGCACATAAGTATATTAGACACAACTGAAACATGCCTGTCTGATTGTCGACCCTTAAGCCCCAAAAGACACCTCAATCTCACCTTAGATGCAAAGCACAAAAATTAGAACGGATTTATAGCGACGACCTGGTGATGGCCTTTTGTGGAGGAAGATGGGCACAAAGACCCATGAACCGGAGGAAGAGTGTGAGAAGACGGAATACTGGGAGAAAGAAATTTAAAAGAGGGCAACGATCGCAGAGTATATGTTACAGAGGGAGGTGGAATGGGAGCAAGTATAGTAAGTGAGCAGCGAACAAATATAGGACTGGAATGTTCAGTAGCCTCCACAGAAAGTCGATCTGTGAGAATATTTGTGCAGATAGGAAGCAACATGATGGCAGCCTTGCTTTGCCGTCACATATCGTCCTGCGGCATTAAAACGGCCAGATGTCCGGGTAAATGTCGAGTTTCAGGGTGTCGCGCTGTTTGGTGGGGCTTCGTATGTGAAGACTGTACTAACGTAGCGGCAGCTTTCGGCTTTCAGCTAAAACGTAGACTTAGGTTTTCATCTTGCCACTATTCGAAGCAGCTGGTTTAAGAAAATATTCATCCTCTTTCGAATTAAATGCGCTTTTATTCTTGTCTTTGACTTCTTGTCACAGGTCAAGGTTATGCCTCTCGTGAATAACCAACACACGTCTTCTTTCAGTTTAGTTCACCGCCGAACCTCCTTTGCGTCGGTTACTGTTAGTTTTTTGAACGTGGTCATTACGGGGCGTGGAGAACAGATAGCGAAGTGGTGGGTTCAGTCGGTCGCGTCATCTTCTTTGGAGTCGGACACGCCCGCTCGTACTAAGTCGGCTTCGCACTGTAAATCACTGTTCGTTAATTCCCGTATGGTCTATTGACATTTGGTTGGAATCCCTAATTCACAAGACTAAGACTCCGTTTTCAGCATCGCACCTGCCGCTAACTCGTTAGGTAGATTTGCATGCCTGCTTTGTTCCGATATTCGGAATGACTTAATGTCTTCAAATGAAACGAATAACGGCGGTATGCCTATTGATGTTATAGATATTTGCTCACCATTGATCCCTTATATTCCACCAGACTTGAGTGGTTTTATCGACATGGCAATATAACTGAAATAGTTTGTGCTTGCAACTCTAAATTTCGCTCTACAGAAAGGCCAGACAGATTACGTAATCTAAAAATCCTTAATTGCACATTATTTAAAAGAACGTAACAGAGACCCCACTTTAAAAATGAACCTTCATAAAATTCACTGAGTAAGCGTACACTTGGTTATTTTTTGCAGGTCTTGAAGCCTGCGCCTTGGGATTGCGGGTCACGATGTGACAGTCAGTGTATGCCATACTAAGGCTCCAGACCGCAAGGTATACCGAACGACAGTGAATATTATTCCGCTCTTGGGTGCCATATCCCATAATACGAAAGTATCACCAGGTTTGGAGAATTATTGATGCACAAGAGTGAGACTGCTCGATAAAATGAGGCGGGGGATAAAAAGAGAAATTAATAAATATCCCACCTGCTTTCAGATAACACATGCATAAATACATATATCCAGATAACTACAGTAGGTGGGCTAACTCATGAAATGTCAACCGAAATTCCGGAATGCGATTTCGTCTCAAAAAGAATATTTAAGTAGGATTGTCATGCTAACCATCGTGAAGCATAATTCCATAGCAATTCAGTTATCGCATGCTGCCGGCTTTCGAACGAACTTCCTCCCGGTTGCATGAAAAACGATACTCTGTAGAAAATGACTGCTTATTTAGCATGTATTTTTCAAATTAATTTTCGATGCCCTTAAAAATTTAATTATATTTCATAAAAAACGTGTATAAAATATTCATTCTTTTTCTCGTTCGGAAGAAAGTTACGTCGTCTTCCAATCTTATGCTCGAAGGAGTGGTGTAATTCGATTTCCAAAAACTTTTCCAATTCTCGAATAATTTTGAACCCGACCTGCCGTTACACTTGCACTCAGGGCTTACAAACTACAAATCATATATTTTCTGCGTACGGAAAACCATGTATTTCTCTACGGTATTAAGAGGAGACTATTTGGGATTCATAAAATTTAACAGTGGATTTGAGCCATATTCTAAACTTTACAAGCGACATTAATAAATGCAGAGTCATGGCATTTTATGAACGGCCATTTCACGGTATTAAAGATCTCAAAATTAGAAGCTTTTTTAAAACCAAAGCGTACTCTTCCTTCGAGTATAGAATTGGAGAAAAATGTAATTTTCCATTAAACGAGTGATGGAATGAATTTTTATGTACTTTTCCATGAAACGTAATTGAAATTTAACGGCGACGAAAATCAATGAGAAAAATGCATGCATAAGTAGTCATTTTTGCAGAGTTTGGTTTTTTACGCAGCTACAAAAAAATTCGTTCGAAGGCCCGAATTTTGAGCTAACTGAATTATTATAAAATCATGCTTCACGATGGTTAGCTTGACAATCTACTTAATTAATCTTTTTTGAGACGAAAACGCATTTCGGAATTTCGGTTGACATTCCGTGAGTTAGCGCACCTACTATATGTACCGGCAAAGACGAGGGACATCGGAATGACCATTTCTGGTTTATTAGAGGCCACCAACCAGCGACACCCAACTCCAGGTGTGGGCTAACTTAAAGTCGAACTCGGGATTACTGGTCATCAAGTCTAACGCACTGTCAATGAGCCAAGGGACCGTCGTCATGTCGGTTGGGATCGGGTTTATTAGTACCGATAGAGCGGTGATCACTGGTCAGGTTGCGATACATGCTGGTCCTTTATGCCCTGGATCTCAAACTAGAGCCCTCGCAGGCGATCACATAACGACTAGTGACATATGCAAGTAATGGTGAACCGACAAAGACAATGAAGACTGGTTTGGCCATTTCCGGCTTGTTGGCGATCATCAACCAGCCATACTTGTGGGACAATATCGGTGAAACGTGCTGATTCTGTCGTCTCGTGGTGTTATTCAGTCATGTTTGCAGCATCTGGCCTATCTCATGTAATGTCAACCGAAATTCTGAAATGTGCTTTCGATCAGAAAAAATTATAGTACGTGATCTATCTCATGAAATTTGATAACGAAAACTCATGCGAAAATTTCTGGACATCTTTAGCTTTGCGCATTTTGTTAACTCATCCACTTCCTTCGAAAAATGTTCTTTTCTTGTGCAGAAATAGTGTTTACGTAATTATATCAAATAGAATATCAACAAATTTTAGCGGAAATGGACGTTGGAATATATGCGGGCAATTTCCTATGCTAATACATGTCCTAGACTCCGGTTACGCATCTGAGCGACTTTTTCATTGAAAGGCTAGTAAGTTACTCGCGAGAGTTTTAATAAACAGATTTAGCCGAACTTGAAATTTTATTTTATGTGCGATGTTAACCGTGGCAATCGACCTGCTGACGCAAAGGTTATTTTAAGAAAACTCGAGATTTTATCATTTTCTAAATGTCAAATTAGCAGATCTGCTCGATTTGGTGCCCTAAAGTGCAGCAATAACGCACATAGAAATTCTTTCGCTTAAATGGGCTGAAATTGTTTTGCCATTTGGAAAATTCTAACTGATGTCATAGGGAACGCTGCTTGTCGTGTAGTTTAGCATATGCACATACCTTATTTAGAAATAGAAGGAGTAAAACATCAATAGTTTTAGCAAAATATCAGTATTTATATGGGCGCTCCGCTGTGCATTCATAATTGAAGAACGGAGTCCAAAAGCGAGCAAAGACAACGAAAATGGCCTCAATATATAGAGAAAGTCATGTTCTTACGTTTACGGCAGAAAATTATTAGTATTGTTTAGGAACGTGAAAGAAACGACCAAAAGTGTCACATTTTTACTTGGCCTCACCGTACAAAAATGCAAAGTACACAGAGATCCGTCCACGGAGTGCAGTAATAGAGCACTTATTAAAGAGATAAATTATTGAGGAAAGTTTTCTAATTGATCGCTGTGGACTTTCGTTGTGGACAGCCATTTTTCTCGAAAATGAAGTTTGATGTTTGAATGAGTCTTCACATGTGACCTAAATGACCGTCTTCGTGAAAAGTAGCACCCGAACACTCACTAATTCAGTAAATGTCTTCAAGAGTAATCTTATTTTAAAGTAAAGACGGGTAATTCAGAATCTGTCTTTATGAACGATCGGAGGAAAACACTGAAAATCATGAAGCATTTAGCAACATTTGGAAGCCGATGTGAAACTCAACGTAATCCAAAACGAAGGAAATGCATAAATTAATTTAACAGTAGAAAAGTTCTCTCTATAAACACATAATGGTATACTACAATGATATACTATAATGCATACTACTTCAGGTATCCAACATAATGATATGCCTACGATCACAACTGTCGGTTCTGTTTAAAGTTATTAGGCCCCGATCGGCCTGACAGCATGTCAGCTTATGAAAACTTCTGTTCTGACGAGGTCCCCATAGGTGAAATCAAGCAAAATCCAGTTTTTCTTTTTGAACCCATCTCATTTACTTCAAATGAGTCAAGAATGCCACGAATCCCTGGAAAACTATTTTGGAATCTACACTCAGAATGTAGGCAGTTAACAAACGAAATTACACTAATTCTCAAACGATATTCGGATGTAAACTTCATCAAAACACTGTTATTAAACGTTATTCCATTTGTAATTTTATATTTCCTATGTTTTCAGCATGAGAACACATTCTATACGTCTAAATCGAAGTTTACTAAATTAGAGCCATTTCTGGCGTTTTCAGGATATTACGCTTTTCTAAAAAAAATTGGTATTTCTAAACAACGCAGCGCTGTCTTTAATATTTGTTTTATGTTTTTAATTCTTTTGAACTTATACTTAATTAACAAAGACATTAGTCTCATGAAGTGGTGTCGGTTTGCGAATGATTAACAATCATTCGTAAATTTCGACACATTTCATGAGTTAGGTAACGCACTGTACTTTGGTGGGTTTGTAACAAAGAGTACCATGCAGCACAATACTAAGATAGTTTTATCGCGCCAGACCTGCGACCTTTGAATGAGCCTCTTTCCAGTCGCTCGCAAAAACCACGCCCGTTAAAAAACGATTACTTTAAAAGTGTGAATTTTGCTCCGTGGATTTGCGGTGGCTCTACAAATGCAATTGTAATTTACGGAAACATGCATAAAAGTACTCATTGTTGTATTAATTTGTTAGCAAATTACGTACCCTCCGGGTTTTATGCTTGAAGGGAGGGTATCGTTCAGATTAAAAGGCTTGCACTTATGGGATATTTAATGACTGTGAAGCTTCCATTTATACAGCCTCACATCTGTCCGGTTATAATGTTACATAAGAAGTATACAAAGTGGTTCACATCTGCTTCAAAACTGTATGTACACTACAGGACGTTTTCTTAATAAAATAGGACAATTTATGATATACCTTACACGTGAAGTGTACGGTATGCAGTTTCAAAACCCTAAGCGCAGGTGCAGTTGCAGGTCGGGCACAAAATTACTCGAGAATAAAACTTCTGAGCAAACTCAAAGATACCTTTCATCGAGCATGGGCGTTGAAGAAGACGTAAGTTGCCATAAAATGAATGCAAGAATGTTTTTATGCATTCTACGAAATATAGGCAAACGTATAGAGGCATCTTAAATCGCTTAGAAGATACAAACTGATCACGTGGTTATTCTTGCCGAGTGTGTTTTTTCAGGCGGCCAGAAAAAAAGCTCAATCAAAAGCTGTCATTCTGGTGCGATTAAAATATATTGGATTGTGTTGCGTGATAATGAGTATTGCAGCTTCGCTTCTTCAAACAGGTGAAAAGGACCTTGCCATTTGCCCAATCATGCTTGTTAGTTGGATGGCGCAGAATTCCAAAACTTCAACAAAGCCTATTTTGTAGGAATGGTATTTCATATGGCAACTCCTCCACTGAAGTAACTATTTAACAGGCTGGAGAAATAAATACGGCTGAACGGCCGGTTGCCGCGGTGTTCGCTCTGAAAATCGCCTTTAGTCCTCAGTACCATTGCCATCCCTGTATTATCCACCTTCGATTCCGTTTCTTTCAGTAAACATACAAGGAAAAGGCATTGTTTCGAAATATGTTAAAACCCCTCCAGATTATTCATCGTTCAAATTGTGCTTTTAGAAAGGCTTCCCGCTGTCAGTTATCGTCCTAAACTTCGGGTTGCCGTGACTTTGCTTCGTTTCCGCATGGCAGCTGCTTTGATGGCATTTAAAATCCTAAAATCCACTTCAAATGTTCATCTCGAATTAACTATTTTCCTACTGATCAGTCTTATCGCAAGCAGCCTGGAGTTTGTACGAATTTTAAGCAATGGCCGTCGCAAAAATGCTGCCAGATACAAGTCCTAGGGCTCCAGGTTATTCCCGTTTGTTACTCGTGAGATGTTCACTCCGATAGACAGAAGCTGTAGGTAAGTTCACAGATGCATTGGCCACATACCGACTCGAAAAACAAATCTTTTGACAAATCAACCGCACAAATTATTACCTGTTTTTGATCAGAAGCCTTGTTTGACATTTGCTCATTAGACATATTAGTTCGCTGGGGTTTGTTTTAGCTTTTAACATTTGAGTGAATGAGCCATTTCAACAAGGCTGACATCTGGACTGAGTTGCTCGTTTGCTAAAGCCTGCAACTGAACGTATCTCAACTCGACCGAGACTTAGCACACTTGAATACTGAGTGCAGCTGGAGAAATGCACCAGAAATGCGTCCGATCTTTTTGACTGCACTTATATTAAAGCTATGGTTAGGACTCGGAGCCAGGTATCTTAGCGCATATCGGTACACACGATCAGTGCGACACTAAGTGCTACAATGCTATTTCGTAGACGCACCTATTAGAGGTTAGGGTTAAGGGTTAGGGGTTGGGGTTAGGGTTAGGAGCTAGGGGTTAGGGCAAGGGGTTAGTGTTAGGGGTTAGGGTTAGGGGTTAGTGTTAGGGGTTAGTGTTATACCCCCTATTACCGCCGGCCCCGTATGACAGGCGGTTGGGGCTTGTCTACAGCAGTTGCGGCTACGAAATAAGATCTGATCCACTAAGTCCACATAAAGGCAAACGTACTTTTCCGATCGCAAAGAAAGGCAGTTCCTGTGAACAAAGCCTATGATAATAATGGAAAATTCCCTAGCATTTTCTGCTGCGAATGAAGCAGAAGGGGTTGCAAAAAGAATGATAATTGCATTGTAGCTGCCTACGAATTCAATGCCACATCTCAGAATCAAAACGAATGCTACCAGCCTGGTCTCAACTCACAGCATGCTCGTCCCGCCCTGACTTAGGGCTCCAATTCAGAGTACCCGCAGGTAGTCACGCAGTGAGGGACAGCTAATAATCGAGAACTGTTCCCGACAAAGACAGGAGAGTCTGAGGTGGTCATCTTTGTTCTTTGTAAAGTCCCGACCACAGTTGGAAGGACGTGAACCCACGGCTCAAGCCGGAGGGTACTTGACTCGAATGTTCCAGGTTTCCCCGCTCGGGACTAACCTGCATCTAGCTGATGACGACTAAATCAGAAAAGGGCATTGTATGTTTTCCTGTCTTTGTCTACGGCAGAAATTGAAATTGAGTCAGTATTTATTGGAGTCACCAAATTTCGATAAATTATATGCAGTGTAAGATAAGTGGCATTTGTCCAAAATCGCTTTGGGCAAAAAAGCCTTCTAAGTCCTCGATGTAGATACATTGTTAACTCATGGTCAAGCTCAAGACACAAGATCAGATGCCTATTTACAGGTCACTAGAACCTCGGTTATGGGATACTGTTTAAATATCTTCGTCTTCATGTGACTGTGGTAGATGTGAGCTGCGAACGAGCCTGGAGCACAGAAAGACGGCGTACGCAAAGAGGTGTAGTGAAATCCTGCGGCAATCCGTATCTGCGAAATTTCAGTGTCGTTAGGCTGTATATAACCACAAACAGACGAGCTTGTTTTCATGAAAGGCAACGAGGATATAAATACGTCTTTAGAAAGCTCTCCCTGAACAGAGGCGGGGGAACAACCATGAAGAAAATCATTAAGCAGAGGAAACATGGTTGCATTGGAAGCGGGTTGACTGCCAGCTAGATAAATCGGCAGCAAATGTCGACCGGTCAGTCAGTCAGTCAGTTTATTTGAGGGAAATAGGCTTACACCTTTGAACTCCCTATTCGTGCATAAAACATCGATAAAAAAAACAAAAGTGTGAAGAAATTTCAGCATTAAGTGAATGCAGATAGTGATTCACATATGTCACTGGGCTCGTGGCTAAAAAATCACATAGCCCCCTTGTTGCTGCAGCATATATCTGTCAAGCCGACATTTAAATGTCTCCACAGATTGAGACATGACAGTCGTCTCGGGCAGGTGATTCCATGGTTCGACGACACGGTTGGAGAAGAAATATTTTCTCACATGCAATTTGCCCTGCGGCACACGTAGCTTGAAGGGATGTCCCTGGAGGTTAGTTGTTGTGGCGAGTTGGAAAAGTCATCGCACCGAAGGGCGCAGTCCTAGCCACGCACGATACGGAGAGTTTGTATCAAGTCTCCGCGCAAATGCATATAACTCAGAGGATAAAGATTAAGGTTTGTTATGCGGCGTGCACGTTGACCTCTTGTTAATTTTGTTGCTCGCCTCTGCACCCTTTCGAGCAGATTGTAATCCTGATGCGTCCACTGTCTCCAGGCCTGAATTGAATATTCGAGATGCAGCCTTACAAACGTGCCGAAGACTTTGGAGAAGCAGTCTTTGTCGAAAACTGCGAATGCCCGCTTGATGGCATATAGCATTGAAGTTGCGGCCTTGGCCGCCTTACAACATTGTGTAGAAGGCTTTAGGCTGTCTGCAACCCAGACTCCGAGTTCTTTCTGCGTTTCTGCATCTCAAAGTAGTATTCCGTTCAGATGGTATTGCCGTGCACTAGGGGTCTGATTTCCGAGGCGCAGTATGGTGCATTTGTTCAAATTGAAGGACAAGAGCCGTCTGCGGGACCGCTCGTCCAATCGACAAAGCTTTTCTTGGAAGTTCGTCTCATTGGCAGCATTCTGGATGACTTTCCAGATTTTTATGTCATCGGCAAACATGGCATTATCCCAGTCCAACCCATCTACACAATCATTGATGAAGAAAATAAAGAGGGTTGGTCCGAACACCGAGCCTTGTGGGACTCCACTCTTGGTGAATGTGCGCCCTGATTGCTGCTGTTCTACGCAGACAATTTGGGAGCAGCCGACGAGGGAATTCTCGATCCATTTGAGAAGTTTGCCGCTGATGCCCATTATTCGCAACTTGTACAGGAGACGCTGGTGCAGGTAATTTCGGGTAAGAGGACCATGTTGAACTGCTCGTCTACCGGACAATAAATGCGTACGTAGAGTGTATACTAAAATCACGATCTCGTCTACTAGAGCGCTATTTATGGTTCTGGCAAGATGATTACAGCGAAAGTGCCTCGTGAGGTCCTTATTTCCATTAGAAAATCGAGTTTCTCGAATGCTTTTTTTCGGGAATTATGACATGCCCAGAAAAATCTACTACAGAGGACGCAGGTAATCAGGAACAAAAGTACAACTGCTTAAATTACGATATGCATCTTTAGGGGTGCGTAACATGTTTTCCGACATAGCACTAGCAAGACCAAGGGCAAGGCAGATACGCATGCGTCCAGGAGGTAGACTCAAAGGAGAACGAGATTTATATTTAAAAACTGATCAAATTTCTTCCAGTTCCATTCGGCGGCCATAGTATTCCGTCACTCAATATGGCGAACTAACCACTGAATCGAGTTTTACAGTCCCAGTGGTTTATTCCGGCTGCGGACACGGTTGGCTATCGAGGGCGTGGACATGGCGGTCATATTTCATGTTGATAACGCACCCTCACACTGACTTTCCGCTGCTCACTAGGTATTTGTCGTCCCATGAGAACGTACCACACGTTAAAAAAGAAGGCATAAAATAGCAATAAACTAAAGAAAAGTGGACTGTGTTCCGGCCTCCATCTCGAAGCTGGCAAACTTCCTGTACCTTTATGAATCATCTAGTCAAACTTTTCGAGGTTACAGCTGCACTCCTATGCGCGTGGATTTATATTTTTACATAAAACAAGGTCACGGTTTCAGCCAAATCGCTTTTTTACAGGAAGAAAACCAGGCAGGTTGGCGGGCCCGCTGATTCAAAAAGATCCTTAAAGGCTATTAAATAAAGGGAATCCCAGGTAAAGTCTTTACAGCTACGGTGCTTCCAAGATCCACGTTGAATATGAATGCGTGCAGTTGTAGTTAGAGTTAGCTTAAACGTATTTCCCATAATTCAAGCGCTAAACGTGTCCCTCTGTTGGAAGGGCTCGTAGGCGAGGGGATAATTTGACCTTCAGACACGCCTACGTGAGTGCAGGAGACAGTCGTGATGTCAAAAGTCAGAGCTTAAACCCTGCCTGTACCCACCGCTATGAGCGGTGTACCGGAGGTTAGGGTGAAGTAACAACTGTTCCTTTTGACACCTCATCAGGTCGACTTCTAGCACACTCGCCTTCTGACCCACGTCGCGACAACTGACATCGTCGGTGACGTCACTGATAACGATTTATGGAACACTATTTAATATTTAAATGAGGAGAAGGAACAGCCCATGACAGACAAAATAATCAACAATTTCCAACGTCCAGTTAATTGTGCAACCAAAAGGTTGACCGTCGTTTTCGACGATGTCCACCATTTGCTTCACGGCAGAGTGGGAACAGAGACGGTGACTTGCGCGTTAATTCGTTAATAGCGATCGTTAACTTGCGCAAAATCTCCGTACTTTCTCGTTCCTCACCTGGGTCCGGTGTCATGGCACAGTCAACAAGACCACAAGCGAGAGTTGGCACAGACGGCTGGCACAACAAAACCCACACCTGGGCGCACCAAATTACCCTCAGGTCTACAAATTATAGTTCAACAGGATTTTACATAACAAGAATAATAGGAATTGCTCGGATCCCAACTGGCGCGAGATGGGCGTACACATGGGTGTGTCGCCAATTCTATACCCACAATATTTATGACTGACGACCCTCCTCCCGCGGCAACTAACACCACCGATGACGTCACAACTAAGGTCTCACAGGACCCTATTTCGACTCTGAAATGGGGGAGGAACGGACACTGATAGGGAAGATAGGCAACAAGTTTCACATCTCATGGCATTATACACCCGCTGTAACGATGGTTGAAGTTTATGCGGCTAATATCCAGAAACAACTTCTAGTAGCATCTTTGTTCCCCACAGAAAACAAGACCTAATATAGACTGGCTGGTGTTACACGTTCCCACGTCCGCAGAAAATATCCGGTCAGGTAGCCGAGGCTACGGGGGATCTCTTGCAGTTAAGAGTGGAATGGGCCTATGAAGCCTAGAAGCTGAAAAATGTGCCCTGTCCACCGGAGCAATGTGTGCCATCATCCCGGAATGGTTTTCTGTGATGGCTACTGCAAATAGTATCCTGCCTTTGCTGTAATCAGAGAGGCATTTCTGCGCATCGAACTGCCCAACCCCAGAATTCCCTTTGATGGTAGCACGCAGACCACCTACTCTTACGACGAGAACTCCCGAGCGTAAGGTTGTTTGAAGACACTTACCCTTGTCACCATCGCCTATTTGGACGTTTCTCCGGCGAACCAAGTTTTTCAGTGCATTTCTTTTGAGCCACTTCGAAAATAGGCTAAATTTTGAACCTACTGTTTCCCCTGTAGACGTCTTCAACCGCGGTTCTCTGATGCCTGAATGATGAGCATTAGTCGGAGATAAATAAACAGAAGACGGTGGAAGTTTTTAGTCCCAGCATGCGTTCAACAACATCTTCCTCTGTTGTTCACACTTTCTGGATTACGCGTGGTCTGCGTTGTAACTGGGTAATTGGCAAGGCATGAGAGAAACATTCGAATCTCGGGTGATCCACACCTGGGGATATGTATGACTGGCTGATGACGTCTGATAAGCCAAAACTGACCATTTCGATCTCCTTTGTCTTTGTCGGTATTATCTTGTCTACCGATACTACTAGTGGTCATACGACTAACTGCGAGTGTTCTAGTTTGAGTCATAAGCCTCAACGGGACGAGCACGCTCCGAAATTTGATTGGTGTGAGCACCTCTACCATAATTCATGTAGCCTTTGTCGTCACTACTGGACTGCCCACTCAGACTTAGCCCAGCGTGCTTTCATATCAATTCAGGTTGGAAAAGTTTAGAGATCCGGGAAGATTATTAGAAGAAGAAAATTGGCTCTTCGGAACAGGTTTATTTAACTGCTGACGTTTCAAAGAGCTGGGTCGGCTCTTCATTGTCAAAGCGTAAACTGCACCTAATCGATCAGAAATTTAGTTTAAAGTGGCAAGTTGTGTTGGCCGGCCTCATGCTGATCGACTTTTTCCTCTCCTCCCGCTGCGTCGGCCTCTCAGGAGATGGTTGACGGGCGTTTTTGCCTGTGCGCTTTATGATTCACCACTCCGTCGAGGGGAGCTGATTGGACTTTAGTCGGGCGGTCGGTCTGGCGGTTCTTGTTCTTCCTCACCGAGTAAGCTCTGCGTCGGGCTATCTCCGTGCTGCCTTCTTAAGTCAGGTGTGGTTGTTTGATCCTGCGCTCTACGATTGTGATGACGTAAGACTTTGTAAGCTGCAGGAAGGTCCAGATGCCTGTTGATAGAGTGGGCATCGGGGAACCACGCTTCGAGAGTTAGCCGTTCTGTTTTTGTTTTGCCTCGGCCTAAGATGGTAGCCCTCTGGAGGTCAAAAGTATGCCCCGTTTCTCCAACGTGTGTTGCTAGTTGAGAGTTAGGGGCTAACCTCCGAGTGGCCGATTTATGTTCTTGTAGGCGAGTTTGCAATTTCCGCCCAGTTTCGCCCACATAGTTGCAGTCGCCCTCATTGCAATTTATTTTATAGATGACTGCTGAGGTTTCAGCGGGTGGCAATGGGTCTTTAGGTTGCATCAGGCGACGTCGAATTGTTGCTTGTGGTCGATGGGCTACGCCTACTCTTGTGGGTTGTAACAGTCGCGAGACCGCTTCAGAGACCCCTTTAACGTAAGGAATGGCCCTCCAGACTTCGGGTTGCTGCTCATTTGGCCGTTGTCTGGGCGCCCAACGTCTGCTTCTCTCGATGAAATGCCTGGGATAACCATTGGCTGCAAATAGGTCCATAAGGTACAATCGTTCGGCCCTTTTATCTTCTGGTGTGCTGCAGTGTGTTTCGACTATTTGGAATAGAGTGCGGACACAATTACGTTTGTGCGACAGTGGATGGTTACTGTTGAAGTGTAGGATCTGCCTCGTGTTATTGGATTTTCGGAATACTGTAGTTTGCAGCTGTCCAGTGGTACACCGGCGCACAAGTACGTCAAGGAAGGGCAGTTGGTTGTTTGTTTCCGCTTCCATCGTAAATTGTATATCAGGGTCAACCGAGTTCAGTAGTCCCTTTAGGTGTTCAATGTCAGTTGTTTTGACAACGACGAAGGTGTCATCGACATAGCGGGCCCAGAACTTTGGTTGATATTTGGTGAACACCAAGTGTTCTACCCGCTGAAGTACTACTTCAGCAATTAGGCCTGATATAGGGGAGCCCATAGGAGTGCCCTTTATTTGTTCGTACATTTGTCCGTCGAAAGTGAAATAGGTCTTGAGACAGTATCGCAGAAGCTCGAGCAGATGCTCAGGCTTCAGAGGCCTGTCTCTCTCCTCATAACGCTCTGCCAGTAGTTGGTCTACAACATCTATCGCTAGTTGCTGTGGGATGGAGGTGAAGAGCGAAACGACATCAAAGGATACCATGGATTCGTCTGGCTCTAACCTCAGTTGCTTTATGCGTTCGAGGAATTGATACGCAGATTCAACTGTTGTTGGTGAGCCTTCGGCCAAAAACTTAAGACGACCGAACATCCATTTTGCCAAACCGTACGTCGGAGTGCCACGAAGGGATACGATTGGCCTGAGTGGGACATTTGCCTTGTGTACCTTCGGTAGACCGTAAAAACGAGCCGTGGCGGTGTCTGTGGGTTTCATGGAGAACCAGTCGTTGGGTGTAATCGCCCCCTTGGCTCTGAGATTTCTTAGGCTTTTGTTTATCCGGGTGATTAGATTTTTCATTTCGCTGGCATGGCATTGTTTGTATGAATGCTGGTCTTCGAGTAAGTCCTGTACCTTGTTCTGGTAATCCGATTTGTCTAGCACAACTGTTGAACGTCCTTTGTCAGTTGGCAGAATAATTATGCCCTTGTTTGCTTTTAGGCATTTCAGTGCCTGCTGTTCCATATTGCTAAGAGTTTCGCACCTCCTGTGTCGCATGAGCAACGAGGAGGTTTGGTGACGGATCAAATCTTTCGGCTCTTCTGACGCCTTTGTTAGTTGAAGAACGGATTCGAAGGCGGCAATAAACTCTGCTGGTGTGGCATCTGCTGTGTTAAAATTGGCTCCACGTTCCAGGATTGCGAGTTGTGTGTTTGTAAGGGTTTTAGATGAAAGATTGTGAACAAGGACGCCTGATGATTTGTCGGGGCTTGGTACTCGAAGTTTTTCCAATTTTATAGATAACTCCTTGTTTCTTTTGGCACGTACTTTCTGAGCATGTCTGAGGATGGTCTGCTCTATGTTCTTTGATTCTTCACCGACAGATCTCCAGAGAAAACACTTAGATTGGTCCATCTCTACATTGTAGCGTTTAAGTCTTTGATGGCAATCGTGAATTAGCACTCTTGTCATATCAATGCATTGTCAGACCTGACGATGTTTCCTCTGTATTAGACCCCGCTCACCTACTCAGTTTTTGAGCTCCTAGAGTAAGGACGACATTGCCATTGCAGAACAAAGTGCTTAGTCCTCGCTTCCTTCCAAACAGATCGGCCGAAATCCATTAGCGGAAATCCGAACAGATCGGTTCTGGAGGACGTCACAATATTATCCGAAATTATCTATTAGAAACAAAACAGTTTCTGGCTTTTCATAGCTACTGAGTTACAAAACCGTTACGCGTATCTGTCCTCGTTTACAGCTAATGGACGAAATCTCAGATCTTGGTCTTCTGATGGGCGACCAGGAGTCCCTATATGCCCGAACCACCACTTCATTATCACAGAAAAAATAAGTCTGTATTCAAACCTAGTATTTCCTGTCCTCCGCAGCTCCGTCAACCCGAGCTGACGTAAGAGAACTGAGGCCTTTCCGTTGACTAAAAGAAGCACAATTGGAGTAGTAGCCAGTCGGAGCGAGACAAAACCAACAATAACAACTCATAACTTCAGAAGCGCTTCCGTCTCTACGACCGCTTCCTCCCTGTCAGAGAAGTCCTTCAGCATCCTGGACTTTGTTAACCTGTCGTTTGTCCGGCCGACTTCGTTAGTCCTTCAGGCACTTTCCTCTCTATGATAAGATTATGACTTCCACTCT